CTTCCCAACGTGGTAACTGAGTTCACTGAATACAAGTGTCAGAGTGTATGTCGAAAAGGGTCCGCGTCCTCTGTTGAAAGGAGGGCCAGCTGCGAGGTTTGACAATGGATCAACAAGTTACTAGTAGCATCCTTGCTCCTAGTAGTAAGGCCAGGAGCCCCTTGTAGCATCCTTGCTCCTAGTAAGTAGCGATGCCCTTTCTTCTTCTTCATCATCATCATCATCATCATCGACATCATCATCCCTGCACCCCACCATCCCAGGGCGCTTCCCATGTGGTTGCTTACTCAACAAGCGACGGAATGGAGGGGGGTCCAGAGAAATTGAATCAATAAGTCACGAGTCTCTTACGCCAGCCACGACCCAAACAACTACAACGCAACATAACTCAACCAAGTAACAAATACAACGGTCAAGGATTGATTTGCTGAAGTTTGCTTGTAATCTCTTTCTCTACTATGCAGATATGTTTGCATCAGTGAACCCAGGGACCTCAAGCTGAGATCACCAAACTCAGTCAAGAAACTGTGCCCGGCAATCCTTCGCTGCTATGATGCCGCCCGTGTTTGCCAGGACAGAATTTGCTGCTGGCATGGACAGACCTTGGTCAAAGGAAACAACACATTTCCATCAACACAAAAACCACTACTACCATTGTCCACCCAGACTGTTCTCTTTGTTAGGCATTCACCATCCAGCACACCAAATGCAACTGTTTGTTACACGGAATTTGATCTTTGCTTTCTCACGTTGCCATTGGTGATTTCATTTCTAGCAATCTACGCTGACCTACAGTAGTATGGGGCAATGAGTATTGACACACCCTTGGGAGGAAATGATCAGTGGTGAGTTGCCAGGAGCTGTGATGACGCGAAGTGGCTGGAAATGCTTGGCGTCCAGCGACGGTGATCTGCAGTTGCAATCAGAGCCGAGGCTGCAAACTTTCTGTTCCCAGAATGTTGCTTTGGATGGTTTCTGTGCTTGTGCTGTTCTGTCCGGATGTGTTTTGTTCCCAGATATTCAGGATGGAACTCGTATTATCCAGCGCTGTTCCCGAATGGCATGTTCCAAGCCCTGTGGTGCGAGATGTGACCAGCAGTACACTGTCGACCACACGGGAGTTGTAAAACGTATGCGGTGTACAAATCCTGTGTCAGTCTTGACCAAGGGTACCACGCAAAGACTGGATGTAAAAATGAAGGAAACCAGGACGGATGGCAAGTCACAACTGCTTGCTGGCATTGGCACAGAATATAGCACAAACAGTGAACGCCATGCCAGCACCAAACACAACACCACAGAATCACCACATCGGAGTGGATCTCCTGGTCACGGCGCAACGAGGCAAAGGGGCACCCAACATGGCCCAACACCGGGCCAGGTGGCTCACACCGGGCCAAGTGGCACACAACGGACGACAAACACAGTTTGTCCGCCATGGTTTGCATGCTGCATACATTTGGACAATGGGATTTGAAGAGAAAAGAAGAACATCAAAGAACTAAGGATTCCGAGAAGATGACAACTGGACAATTATTTCTACAAAATACTGGATGTAACAAAGCACAGGAACAACAACCTTCGAAGAAAAGAACGGAATGCGCAACATTCGAGTAAAATACAATGAGGATCTGCAACTATTACCAGCAAACACAGAACGAGGCATTCGGCAGCCGAAACAACTGAACATGAACTGAAACAGCTTCCAGGCCGAACCTTATTGTGAATCATGTGTAAAAACAAGTGGCAAAGCAAACAGTCACACAAGGCAAACAAGCAAGCAGCCAGTGATACAGGTGGACATCACCTGTATCAAAAGCATTGAGGAGAAGGACAACACTCCTATGCGACATGAAAACAGGCATCAGCAAAAGCAAAAGCACCACTGGCTGCATCGATTCACCTCGCCAACATCGGCTCACCACCGGCCACCAACATCACAGGCAAGAGCATCAGCATCGCTGCGCTGGCAAAGCAAACAATGGCCAATGACATTGATGGAAGGAAAATGACAAAGGGCAAACGCGAACAACAGCGCCTCCAACCTACGAGTAATAGCAAAAGGAACCTAGTAATGTTGGATCTTGATTAGTAAAGCGGCCCCCCCCCTCCTCTAAACAAATGGGAGGGCCTCTATAATAACCTACCACCAAAACACATCTGGATCCTGGGAGGATTCCTTTTGTAATTGATTGTAGGATTCATTTAGCTTTTTCAGGTTCTTTGTAATTATATAGATATTCTCAGCCATCCTTTTCCTCTGCAGCCTCAGATCTTCAGCAAATCTTGAGGACTACTACCTCGAAAATTTGTTTAGGAGCAATCTTTATATAAAGGATTGATTAATGAATTAATGGCTTTGGGAAGCTGTGCGATTTGAAGAAGTAAAGAAACCTATGATTACCAATATTACTCTCAGCAAGCCAGCTTTTGGCTTAGTAGTATTCACAGATCATCGCAGGATTTGAAACTCTCATTTTTCAGATAATAAACCACTAGGTTCCCTCAGAGAACCCTTAAAACAAACATGGTGTCAAGAATTTTGTTTCAACAATTTAGCATTATAGAGGGCCCTATTACTAATCAGCATCCAACATTAGCGATGGCCTCCACCCTACTAGCGATGGCCTCCAACCTAATGGCGATGGCCTTCCCCTAATAGCAATGGCCTCCACCTACTAGCAATGGCCTCCACCCTAGTAGCAATGGCCTCCAATCCAATAGCGATGGCCTCCCAAGCAAACGTGAACAACAACTGCACCAAAAGCAATGTCTGAGTGACCCATGCAAGAACCACGGCGACAGGACAAAGAATCTCGGCAGTGACAGTCAGGACAAGGATAGGAGAAGCAATGACCACAGCATCTAACGAAGCGAACAGGAGAAACACACAACAACACATTGTTGAAAATAATTGTCCACAACACGGAAGGATTGGACGAGAAGAGACCACTTGGAAAACCAATGGGTTCTTCGACCAAAAGACAAGGTGAGAGCAAGAATAGTGGACAAAGGCTTTACAAACACCATCAACAACTTGGACATCTCAGCCTCGACACCACACACTTTGTGTGCTGCCTCCTTGCTCTGGCACCGACCTTCAACTGGGTCGGCAGAACAGGCGAGAACAGGTGACATTTCAGCCTTTCTACACGCAACAGCAGCAACCGCAGCACAGTGTGATCTACAACCCATGTGGCCACCAGCAGAGTTCTACAACCCATCAGATATGACTGACATACACCCGACCAAAAATCAGCTAGCAAACTCACTCACCAAGTGCCAAGCCTGCAACAGGATCAAAAAACACAAACACCGGACCTACTCCCTACTCAGGTATCTATCTACAATGTAACTGCACACTACAGGTTTGTAGTAAGAGTAAGTCCAACAATACGGGTGACAAACAACATCAAGGGTATCATTCAATGTCATCACACATGTAGATGCAAACTAGGCAAGCAAATGTCCAACAAAAAGCACAACAGGCTTCTGCATCTTTGCACTTGGAAAATGCCGACAATATGGCAGCAAAACACAAGCAACAGTGGTACGTTGCAGTGTCATTCATGTATTTCTGTCGCACCGTTTGGGTATGTTGCAGTGCCACGTTTGTTCCCTTGGACAAACCAACATACACCCGTCCAATGGACGAAGGAGTTTCGTTTGACACGGAACAAACCGTCCGAAAAAATGGTGCACCAACCCTGCAAACGACCAGTGGGTCGTCGGTTCTGGTGAGGGGTAGGGGTGATCCATGGTGATTATGGTGGACGTGGAGGTCATCTTGGCTCTGTTTATATATCACATGAAGCACTCGTGGTTTTCCTCTGGTGTATCGTTTTTCCGTGGTCCATGGTCAGATTCTTGCGGTGTTCGCCAATCCCTGATGACTCTGACAATCTGTGGTGATCGTGATTTTGGCGCCGATTCGTAAACGTGATCCGCAATAGTGCGGCGATGAAGAATAGTGCGGCGATGAAGTGCTTCGTGACCACTGTGATTTGTGATTCGTTTTTCCTATATTATAGATGATTATAGATTTCACTGATGTAACTTATTAGGTAGCCCGGCGATCTGTGATGGGCATTCGCACGCTATGCTGATCTACAGCCGATCATCCCTTTGCTTTCCAACCACCACGCAATCAACAAAATTGTTACAAACTGGGTGAGATGTCTGTCTACTTCCAACGAATGTTGTTTCTGTCTCTTGAATAGGCCATCACAAGTAGGTTGGAGGCCATCGTTAGTAGGTTGGAGGCCATCTCCATTATGTTGGAGGCCATTGCTATTATGTTGGACGATTAGGAGATACTGAAGTATCTATAGAAGTCCTGAAGCGATCTGAAGCGGAAAGGATCGGCCTCCACCGGCAAAAGCGCTACAGTTGTGGAAGGATATGTTGCCACCTGGCACGGCGACAGGACAATCCCGGTATACATAGCTCCATCATGCTCCATCTGATCTGAGTAGGTGATGTAGCTCATGCCACCACTCCATGTTTCTACATCCTGACCCGGTGAGAACACCGGCACCGTGGACCCGGCCATCCGATGCTTCGAGTTGAACTCATGTAACATGAACTCATGTAGGTGTGGTCTCCTTTTCCAAGTGAGGTGAGAGATAAACAACACCTATGGTTTGGGGGGGCAAAGCCCACAAGTGCTGAGCTAAAACCACATGAAGTGTATCATATCCACACGCAAAAGAACCAGATCATCCGGAGCCGACTCTGCACATTTTGAAGTTCAGCCTTTCGGTTTTTGACATTCAGCAAGAAGCTACTAGGGGCTCCTGGCCTTACTACTAGGAGCAAGGACGCTACTAGGAGCTCTCTTGAACAAACGAATAACTTCCATCATCCACCCCCTGAGGACCCTGCTTGCGGTGAATTTGTCACCGGACACCGCAAGCCCACCACCCCCAAGGCCATGCCCCGAGGTGTCAGTCGCCTCAAAAAGGCGCGAGAATGCCAAAACACCCTTCGCAAAGGTCTGTGGTACACAATCCGCTGCAATTCACGGATTGAAAGCCTAAAATGGATAATCGCCCTGAATCCGCTACACAGTTCCTAGGAACCAATCCTAAAATTTGTGATTTTGGGCGGTCGTTATCAACATTCAAGTATGTTGTTCCGTGTTTCCTGGTGGGCCTTTGGCTGGACTGCGCACTGTGTATGCGTTCCCGGGTGTTTTCCGAGGGCCCCAGATTTATTTACTTTTAGGTGTCTTATTTGCGGATGTTTTTGTTTTAGGTGCTGGGATGGCTGGAAAATGCAGATTTTGTGGCAGGCGCAACACTTTGTCAACCTCGGAGCGCTGATCTTAGCATCCAGGTCTTATGTCAAATTGCAAAAACCTGCCGGCCCTTAACATCCACCGTTGTGCGGATTTGCAGGTCCTATGCCTACATGTTTTGGAAAAACCTGGTGGCGGTCAGATGGCAAACACCTGGTGGCCCTTAACATCCCACCATTGTGGGGGTTCGCTGGTTGTATGCCTACATGGCTCATCTATCTGCAAAACAGTGTGATATATTGCAAAAGTAAAGTAACCAACTATATATATATATATCAAAATATTCAATATTTAACGTATTGTCGTTTTGTGTTAAGTGTTGATATTCAACGTATTGTGTTCATTTAATATAACTGCTTTTTTTGCTGGTGGCAGGCGCTGCATTTGTGAATCCCGAAGAAAGACTGTCCTCAAGGGCTCACAAAAGGTATGTTTTGTTTCTATGGTTCCTTCCTCCTATTCTGCCCTCGTGCAACTCACAATAAAATATCCAGCGTTTCAACCTCTGATCTTTAAATTTGGGTGGCTCACAAAAGGTTTGCTAGGTTCCTTCCTCCTCAATATGTTGCCCTCGGGTTGACAAAAAGTATGACGCATACGTTATGCTACGTTTGGAATGGCCCCCTTCCTTCTCTAAAATTAACCATCGGGTGGCTCAAAAGGTCTGTTCATGGCTTATTCCCGCTCTAGATTCTACCCGTCGGCTCACAACAACTGTACTATGGACGGGTTCCTTCGTCTAAATTCTACCCTCAGGTTGATCACAAAATGTACGCTACGTTAGAATGGCCCGTTCCTTCTGTAAATTTTACCATCGGGTGGCTCACAAAAGGTATGCTCTGTTTTCCATTGTTTTTCCTCCTAGATTTTAACCTCGGGTGGCTCACAAAAGGTGTGTTATACTGGATTGGTTCCTTCCTCCACAAAAAATATACCATTGGGCTGGTCACAAAGCGTATGTGACATTCTTCTTTAGACTATACCCTAGCGGCTCCCAAAAACTATTCTCATGGCTTCTTCCTGCTGCTGTAAAATCTACCCTCGTGCAGCTCACAAGAGGTATCCTACGTTTCAACCTCTAAATTTTAACCTCGGGCAGCTGACAAAAGGTATGCTATGTTGCAAAAAGGTTGCTTCCTCCTCAAACTAAAGCCCTCGGGTTGATCACAACAAGTATGCAACGTTATGCTACGTTGGAGTGGCCTCTTCCTTCTGTAAACTTTACCATCGGGTGGCTCACAAAAGGTACGCTATATTGGATTGGTTCCTTCCTCCTCTAAAATTTACCGTTGGGTTGGTCACAAAAGGTATGTTACGTTGGCTTCTTTCTTCTCTAAATTTTACCCTGAGGCTGCTCACAAAAGGTCTTCCAAGTTTCCATCGATCCTTTCTTAAATTTACCGTTGAGTGTCGAGTGTCTCACAAAAGGAATTGACAATTGGAATGGCACCTTCGAACTAACAATTGTCACATGCCTGAAAGAAGGAGCCACTTTACCAAACACTCAGTTCTCTCGGGACCAGACCCAGCAATCAGGTAATAACTGAGGGAATGCATAATGCATTGTAACCTTCTTTGCTTTATGTTTCGTTCTTCCTCTCAAACTGCTATCCTTGCCTTTCCCTCCAAGCTTCCTTCCTTCCTTCTTTCCTTCCCTTGAGTACCGACCAGGAGAAACAAAAGAGATCCCGAACCAAAACAAACAAATCATGCAAACAAATTACCCTCCCGCGCCGAGCACTTGCTCAATAACAACATGTCGGAGACCGAAACTCAATCGCAAGGGTATCAAACCCAGAGCAAAGGGATGAAAAGGGCCAAGACTGCTTCCACCCCCCCCGTGGAGTCATCAGTAATCTTCCAAGTACTGGGCGACTATCTATGTTACCAAGCAAGAAGAGTCCAAATCTGAAGAAATAGTTGGTGGTCTCTATCCGAGAGAACACAGGCACCTCACACTCACACACAAGAAGGGGAGGGAGTGAGTCATGCTTCCCCCCCAAATTGTTGATATGGACCTATGTTGATTCTTGGTTTGGGTGGGTGCAGATTGCGGAAGCACACACTTTGCGGTGGGCCTTTAAAACTTTACGTTGGGATGCTTCTTTGGATCATCTCAGATTTCTCAGCCGCGTCACCCTGCAAGACTCGAATCGAGCAATTGCCCATGAGGCCAGGGTCACGTTGCCCTTCACAAGCATGCCTCCTGGGCAAAATCTTTAAAACAAACCACCAAACAACTGGGACTCAGCCTCGGTGAACCTGAGAATTCTGTTTCAACCAAACATTTGCTTCCTTTCACAGGCTCGTATGCTATGTATCACTCGAGACGGGCCTCTCGGTGCCTGGACCTTCCTGAACTGATGGTTTAGGGAAGCACATTGTGGCACCCTCTCTCTCTCTCTCTCCCCCTCCCTCCCTCCCTCCTCCCTCCCTCCCTCTTCATGTGGCACCTGCCTCACCGTCATCGGTAGTGAACATCTGCATTCTCAAACGCTGTTCTTTGAGTATCTTCATGAGTATCTTGTTCGTGCTGTGCCACTGAGGTGCCACTGATAGGTTGTGAATGGATGAGATCAACCAAACCAGCAAATAACATCAACATCAAACAAATCCTAGGACAGGATCCTCAATGGCATTACGAAGGAAGCACACAACCAAAGAAACCAACAAATGAAAGGCAAAAACGCATACATGCATGGGCTCGGAAGGAAATGGCAAGAAAAAACACCAACATCCACCAACGAATAAGGACATACAGCAGCCGAAAACATAGTTGTAAGAAACGATAAATATAAACAGCGCCCGTCAGCGATTTCGCTGCCTTGACAAATTGAAGGAAATCATATGTTCTTTTACATTAATGCGGAATTGGACAGATTGAAAAAAAACAACTCCGGCAAATGGAACAGCAATACAAAGGGCGTTGAAAAGGGCAGGACAGGAAACATTTTGTGTGGGGACATGCGGCGGGCTCACCCGTTTAAAGAGTCAGCTTTTGTGGCAGGCGCCACGTTCGGTCAAGCAGTACCGCAGATTTGTGGAGCTGGAGGGTATTGGGAGGGAGGGTGCAAAGCCTCCCCGTCAGAACGAACCAAAAACAACATCCGCAAGAAACCAGGACAAAACATCACCCTAGAATAACCTAAGACACACAACATTTCAAAAAATATCAAAAGGACACGCATGGACCAGGGCAGAGAAATGCAAACGCTTTATGCAACTGTCTCGAGTGTGTGCTCTCCTATATGTCTGCTCAGCATACCCGTGCTCTCACAGGTGTGGTCCCATGTGTTTGCTCTCAAATAGCGGTTCTCATACCTCTCCTGTGCTCACACAGGTGTGTTCACGCTCTTTCATGTCTGCTCTCATACGTGTGCTCTCACTCACCTGCGTGTGTGTGTGTTCTTATGTGCTTGGTCCGATGTGTTTGCTCATATGGGAGTTGATTCAAATTCCTTTATCCGGGATCCGTCATTTTCGCCAAAAAAAAATATGTTAGCCAAACTTTCGCCTGCCTGCGTTTTATCTTTCGCCGAAGTATGTTGTATTTATGTGAGCCATGTCTGTTGTGTTTTGTTCACGTCAATGGCTTCTTCTTTACTGGCAAATACCAAATAGAAACTGCACTGTTTGTCAGCATGTGTCTTCTACTTGACTGTTGACACCCTGTACGTCTCTTTTGTTTCTCCTGGGTGTCAGCAAGAATCAAAAATGGAAGAATCACTGTAGTAGCTGGTCACTCAAACTTACTCATAATGGGCTGGGGGTCAGATGTGGCAGGGTGAACTTTCGCCAATCTTGAGCTGAACTTTCGCCAAATTTTCGCCTTTTGCGGGGTAGAGTTTTGTGGGAAAGCCACCCCCCCAAAGCAGGAGCAGGAATAGTAGTAGTAGTAGTAGTAGTAGAAATAGTAGTAGTAGTAGTAGTAGAAATAGAAATAGTAGTAGTAGTAGTAGTAGTAGAAATAGAAATAGTAGTAGTAGTAGTAGTAGTAGTAGTAGAAATAGTAGTAGTAGTAGTAGACATAGAAATAGAAATAGTAGTAGTAGTAGTAGTAGGAGGTAGTAGTAGTAGTAGTAGTAGGTAGTAGGTAGTAGGTAGTAGGTAGTAGGTAGTAGGTAGTAGTAGTAGTAGTAGTAGTAGTAGTAGGTAGTAGGTAGTAGGTAGTAGGTAGTAGTAGTAGTAGTAGTAGTAGTAGTAGTAGTAGTAGTAGTAGTAGTAGTAGTAGGTAGTAGTAGTAGTAGTAGTAGTAGTAGTAGTAGTAGTAGTAGTAGTAGCCGCAGCAGCAGCAGGTTATCTAACTTCCACAGCTCATCTAACTTCTGAGTCACTGCCACCAGCTGTTCAGGAAGCAAATGAACATTCACACAAAAGTACATATTTAATCTGTCGCCAGATCTTTCGCCAAAAAAAAATACTTTCGCCAACTCGAGAAAAAACTTTCGCCAAATGAGATTTTGATATGTTCCGGGTCATCGTCATACACAATGCTGTTTAGGACCTTTAGATCGACAACCATATATGTGTGCTCTCACATCAGCGCTCACTCATACCTGTGCTCTCACGTGGTTTTCTCATGTGTTTGCTCACAGTTGTATGCTCTTATATATGCATTCTCATTGGTGTGCTCTTTTATGAGTGTTATCATATGTGTGCTCAGTCTTACACTTGTTCTTCTATGTGTTGTGTGTTCCCTCTCAATTGTGTGCTCCCATGAGTTTGTTCACATATTGTGTTCTCTCACATGTGTGCGCATATCGTATATATACAAATATAGGTACTGTATATATGTGCTCTCATGAGTGTGCTTTCGTATATGTGTTCGTTCATGCCCTTGTTCTCGTATGCGCGTTCTAGAGTGCGGAAATGATTTGTTAACCCTTGTCTTCTTCTATTCAGCACTGTTTGGGGTCTCTTGCCGGATGTTTCTACATAATTAGTTTCCTTTGCCCATGTTTTAAAAATTCTATATTTATGTTTAAAAGTGTTGATGACATGAGAATATAGAAAATATTTTACATTCTTTTACACTTAAAGTATAATATGTGTTCAAGTAGTTTAGGGCACTAAATGTTCACAAATCATTTGCACACCGTTCTATTTTTGTACTCCTATATTCTGCTACATATCAAATCACTAAATAGCTGATGTCGTTTGATGTTTGCGCTGGTAACATTGCGACCACAAAGCTCATATCAATTGAACCTTGGTGCACAAGAACCCCCAGGTTTGTTGATTGCCAAGGATTGACTTTACAATTGCAAGGGGTTAGATTATAGGTTTAGAGAAAAGGAGTGCTCTGCCACATGGTTCAAGCTGGTCGCGAAATAGACCATGAAGGTCCTATCACAAACATGCATACATGTGTCTATGCATGCGTATATATGTATCTGTTGTCGAAACACACATAATATATATATATATATGTGTTCACAAAGGCCCAATTCTGGTATGATCCACGGATACAGGCTCTACGACTCTACATCTCGGACAAAGCCGGACAAACTAGTGGGAGCCGACCAAACCTGCCGATGACGCAGCTTCAGCCTGTACAAGGATTGGAAAGGGGCTCTTCTCTTGTCAAGCGAACATGCTTCGATATCAGCAATCAATCCACATGTCGAAAAACAAAAAGCGGTCCTCCAGAGTAATGCGCCTCGCAAGACTTGAACTCAAAGGTGGATGAAGAACTCTTGAAGTTCCTTGGATATGGTTCACGTGACATCGGGTTCATCCCATGTTGCCTGCTTGGAAGTCAACTGCTTTATGCTACCCAAACCTGGGTCCAAGTGCATCAGCCTCGGCTGAGTTGCAATGGTGAAATTAGTGAATGAAGTCAAGATGAGCACCCCCAAATCCAAAAAGACTACCACGTCTCGATGCTTTCCAGCAAAGCCCAAAGAGACTTGCAGCACTCCTGGTCATTTCTGGTGAGTTGCATATGCAGAGTTCGCTCAGCAGGTGACTGCTCGACAAAAGGACGCAGGTTTTGGTATAGACCCTGAAGTTCGGGGGATACTTTTGGTGGCGGATTCCGCCAGCCGCCGGAGATTTTGCGGGCTGGCTGGCTGATTCCGCTGGATACTTTGATAGCTGGCTGGCTGGCTGATTCCGCCAAGTACCCGGAACGCAGGGTCAATAGGTGGCGAGCAAAGTCCAACGATCCAAAACATTGGAATTTGGAATCGCTGGCATACTGCTGTCATCGCCGAAGATAAGGACTTGCGGTGGGCAACGGCCACATCCATGAAGGTGGGTGAACTGTTGACATGACCTATCCCAAACCGCGCCAAAAGAGACCTGACCCAAAATGACACTATTTGGGAGGAGAAACGCCAGGAGCAAATTGTCTCCTGGTGGATATATTAATGATATATTTTCCAATTGCTCTGGAAACCGCATCCCATATCCTGCAAAGTGGGCGTTTGGCATGGAGACCTGCCATGACGGCGGGAAAAGCCCCGTGTTGTGTTCACTCTGAATGGGTGCGTCTCCAATGGAACCTTGAACTTTCAATCCTTTATTGACTCTCTTAATAGACCGGTATGCCCCTTAGACTTAGACTTTTCAGCTAACCCAATGGCCATTGAAACAAACCACTCAAATCAATTCTCAAATCTACTTCCGAGCAACTTGCCCAATCCACGGAGATGGATATCGATTGTGGGTTCGCTGGGAGATCCCTCTGAAGCTGGGTCCGTTTATGGTCATACTGTTGGTTGATGAACTTCTGCAACACCTGGCACCAATGGTCATCCCAATAGATATACAGTACCTTAAACATCACCTGAATTTGGCGCATGATTCTGCATTAATAGTAAACAGTATACCTCATCAACACCAGTGCCCTCAACCGCCACACCCATTCCTTCCATCAAGAGTCTGTCCAACGAAAAGGCCTCCTCCATCAATTGCTTGGCATCTCTCAAAAGTGATGTTACTCCGGAAGGATGTCACATCGCTCCCACCGTAGATCCCTCCTGCAATGGTGTGGGGTGCGCGAAGCGTGCAGCGAGAAGCTCTGGAGAACACAGCCGGATTGGGCCCCAAGAATCGTATGAGGAGTATAGACCTAAGCTGGGCAAGTCTATTTTGGCTGAGGCCCGTGAGTCAAAGACATGCAGAATTCAATTTTTGTCGTGCTGCATGGCTGTGCCAAGACATTGGTGCAAAAGCCCACAAAGAAGCATGCCTTCCACATACTTCCAAACACACAAAAACGACATGTTACCGCACAGAACTTCCAGATCAACATAGAATCGGCTTGCAAGAAGCCATTGTCCACTTATATGTGAGTGAGTCGGAGGGCCACGGAACAATGAGGCCAGGCCTCCATCTTCAGTCTCTGGCCCACCACAACCTTCAAAGGTCACTGCGGCCAGCATAAAGGCTAGGCGACCCTGGCACAACGAACTGAACTTGAACTTGCCATCACAGGAACTACAGAACCACCTCTGGTGAATTGAGCCAAGAGTCTTACCTGAACTATATCTTTGAATTGGAGGTTGTGACTGTCTCGCCGTGCCTATTCTTGTGAACTTTCTTGTGATTATATAGGTATCACCTCACCTGGCGGACAAAGCCACTGTTTCGAGTATAGTCCTTATCGCATTGGCATCATCCAAATTTAAAGCCAGCTTGTATTGAAAGGATGATTCCAATGTGAAGCAAACAAGCAAACAAGTTTAAACAACAGCAGTGGCAAAACGCATATTGCCACAAAACACCTCATATAAATATATAATATTAATATATATAGTTGCACACTGAGATTCTACTTGTGAAAGCTGGAAAGCTGTTTCAAGCACTCTGCAGTGGAACGTGTGGCCATCTACCCCCCAGGCAGTGGATCTGTGGAATATGTCCCCCGTTGTTCCACCCCCCCCCGACGCACCTCCACTTCGAGACATCGGGCCTGTGGCCCACGGTGCTCCTGTCGTGTTGCGCAAAGGAAACACCCAACCATCGGTCGATTTGTTCTGAAGCCAGCGGCCGTCCCGATCCGTGTCTCTGTTGCCTAACTCTTGAACTAAACAGGAGGCCCCAGTAATTGCTTCCTCATCGCTCCCACCAGTGACTCACCCTGACGGTTCAAGCTGTGTTTGGCCCGCCAGCATCTCTTCCTGGCCCAAGTCGTGAGCCCAAAAATGCCCACTGATGCCTGGCCCACAAAGCGGATGGAGCCGATGAAGCGAACATCCTTTTTGAAGAGGATCTCTTCCTCGACCCTGAGAGGAGCTGTTCGGAACCGAGGCGATGAATATTCCTTTTGTTCGGACAAAAAAAAGCACCCATGGCGTATACCAGCTTAACAGCTACTCCCCTGTGGGGAACGCGACATGGCTATTTTATGATGTTTGAGTGTACACCGGAACAAGACAAATGCGCGGAACGTTTTTTCTTTTTTTTGGTCACACGACGTCACGCTGACGTTTCGAGACATCGGCTCGAAACAGCACTCGAAACAGCACTGGAAACGGCACATGATGCTTTAGAACATGTTTGGGAACCAAACTTGGCTTCCAAACAGCTATCAAGGATAGTGGGGATACTACTAGGTTGGAAAGAGATGTGTCCAGGGCATCCGGTGAGCACCCCGGTTCAATCCATGTGAATCCCTGAGTCCAGAATGAAGAATACTAATCTGTTTACCCCCCTGCCATGCATTTTGTCAATTCATAATAAGCTTGCGCGGATCGTCTTGCGGCGGTTCAGAATCGTTGGCATGGCTCCATAGCGCTCTGTGTTACTTACCAGCCACGCAGCATATATCTCTTTAACAAAGCAAGTCTGAACAGTAGATGTTCCCATCAGAAGGTTGTGTGGACCGTGATTCAGGTCTGTCCTTCTCACCTATAGAGCCGGTGCTTTCCAATGTTGTTCATCCAAATGCAAAGCACTTGGGGCCCTGGGGCTATCTCAAAATCAGCTGCATCCACCAATCCCAACCAGTCTCTAGCCGCTAGCCGACGTCTTTCAGGTCAAATAGCGGACACTTGCATGAACCTAAAGGCCCTGGCAAACCAATACGTATGCAAGCTATGAATTCTTCTATATTCTTTTCCTCCAAGGTGCACCACGGTGGCTTGGGAGCCCACCACGCGGCACTTCTCGGTGATCGTGATCTGAGACGACACCTGCCGTCCGAAGTGCGCAGGATCGGGCGAAATCCCACGCGTGACATGTGTCGTTTGGACGGTCACAGGTGGAGAAGGAGGAACAAAAACCAGCACAAGTTGCTTCGCTTTGGGGTGCTTAGGTTGCAAACTTCACCAACTGCCCGCGCCTTGTATCTCCCTGTCAAAGACAATTGTCCTCCCTCACCTAAGGACAAACCCATGTGACAAAGATCCGAGAAAAACCTCCATCACATTCAATATCATTCAATCAAAGCACCTATCGGCTTTGAAACTCTGAGGTACGGTATAGTACTCCAAATGTTGCAGGACATCAGTTCAAATCACATGGGATTGCACTGCTTCGAAGAAAAGCTGGCCGAGCGCCCCCCCCCAACCGAAGAACTACCTCAATTGGACCACAGGTATATGTCCACATGAGGAGTTGCCAATGTCCGCATGTTTACTCCTGGTGTTTCTCTTGGATCGACATGTTTTGGGCCATTGTGAGTGAAACAAAAGGCAAGGTGAGTGAAAAGGCATTGTGAATCATTGTGAGAGGGACAGCGTCGTGCGCAGGAGAGTGCACCCAAGAAAGTCCCCAAGGTTGTGTAACCCCTTCAGAAAAGCCACAGGTGTTTGGAAAGGGCTCCTCTTGAAGCACGCGCATCGCTGGAATAGCCACTTTCCATAGAAGGAGATACCAAAGCCACCACACGGAGCTGTCCATTGCATGTCCCCAGCGAAGCTCCGATCTCGGAGCCGAGGAGCGTCGTTTTCACACCGCCCCGAGTCACCACGGGGACCGTCACTCGACGGAGGATCCCCTGTCTTTTTTAAGGAAAGGTTTGACAAAGCTACGGCTCCAGACGGAGTCTTGAGCCACAGGTCGGGATGTGGAGCGATCGGACAAAAACGAACGGAACAAGGGGCATCACTACGAACGGAGCAAGGACGCTACGAACGGGGCTCCTGGCCTTACTATTAGTAACAATGTTCAAGAAGATCATGAGTTCCGAAAAGTGGAAGCCCACATGGCAAGTTCCGCAAAGAATGGAGGCCCACATGGTCTTCTGAAAGCACAGAGCTGGTTTGTGTCCACATATTCTCTGATTGTGAAAAGACCGGCCGCATTCTCGGGTTTGGTGAGCACTCAATGTGTCACCAACTCCTAATTTTCTGGGTTTCTTTCCGTGTTCGTTTGGGGTTCTGGGGGTTTTCGAATCGATAGGGAACCAGTCCCTTCTTGTCTCATGTCAAAGCTTCATTGAAACGCACCTCTTTCTCCGTCGCTCGGATGTCTGGGCAAGGCCCTTGCAAGCACCTCTCAGGGCGCGGTGCGGAAGCGCACGGCACCGCTTTCGGCTTTCGGCTCCAAGGCTCAGCTAGATACACAACAAACACAGGATGAACAGAAGAATGCTAGACATCCACCAGCAAATCCAAGCTTTCAGGCTCAACCCAGTTCATTGGAACAAGTGGTGGTGCCGAGGTTCTGCCAAGTTGATGCGCACATCTCACCCTTTCTGATCCAAAGTCACCCCACAAGTCTTCCACTTGCCTGTGTCAAGCAATTCTCTCGATCAACAAGATGCTCATCTGGCTGCCACTGCAACGCCTGCGACCGGACTTCGTGCCCTCCAAGAGTGGACATGGAAACCGGTGCAAGTCGTGTCCTGTAGCCGGGCTATGAAACAATTTCTCTTCGTCTAATTAGTCTATACATAATATATATATATGTATATATACACGTGTATCACTGTCCATGTCGTTGGGATCCACTGGAACTGTTGTCAAAACAAAAGGAACACTAGCTTGCTTGGCACTTGAGTTTAGATCTTCGTACTGTTATTCCTCATACTGCTCTGGCAGTCGGCCCGTTTGCGTACGGTGGACACGAAGGTCCGAGAACAGCAGGAACAAAATCAAGTTCTCTAATTGTGTTTGTATTCTCCTCCAAGAAATTGGACTTGCAGTCAGTTGGTTTCAAACCCACAATGAGCCCCACATCATTTCAGTCTCTGGAGCTTCCATCAAGCTCGCTTCCACCTGGGCTGCATCCCCAACAAACTTCAGCATCGGCGCCAGCTCCAATTGCCGAGAAGTCCAAGCTACGTCTTGGCCGAGCCATAGACGCACTGCGTCCTGCGGATTGTTGGGGTGAACCAATGGTGAACCAAAACTAGCAGTAGCTGCTAGTAGTAGAGTATACATACTAAATGAACTCCAGGGAATACCCTTTAAGAGCGGATGTACTGCTTTCAATGTGGAACAAGGGGGGCCCATCGACCAGTGCCCTGGTGCAGGAATCGTAGACCCGTCGGTCCCAATGGAGTTCGTGGCTTTCCCTTAGCAGCCTTGCCAGGCAGCCAGGCAACGCATGGAGCCCGCTGTTAATGCTGTTATATATTCATTTGGTGATTTGGATTGTTCCTTGGATGAGCACATCACCCATCATGGTCTGTTCGCCGTAACGGCTGCTTTGAGACTTTGAGCAGGTCTACTTGAGAGTGCTGCAGCCAAGGGCGGGGATCACAAGCAAAGCCGCGTCTCTGCAGGTCCAACACCCCCGCACGATCCCACAGGTGGAAGGCTAGGCTTGGCCAACGGAGACTTGCTTCCTTGGTGTCCGGTCTGTCTCGCCAAACTTGAGCTGAGACCACCAACAATATATATATATATATATGGCTCATGGTCGTCACTGGCCACTATAGGATTCACATTCCAACTCTCTTTGCCAAACGTAGGGATTGTGTTGATCTCGTGTTGGTCTCGACGCGAAGAAATTGAAGAAAAACACAAACCCTCAGGACAGTGTCCGTCTCAGGACAGTTTCAGTCTCCCGAAGCCCTTCCTCGGGTCGGTCAGCGTCCACATCTGCCATCCATGCTAGCGCACCCTCATCTGCCTCATCCAGCTGGATTGAAAGCAAGCTGCTGGAATTATTGAAAGGGATAATTAGACAAGACTACAAGAATCATGAAACATGAAGGCTGAACAAACCCTCCACCTTGCTCAGGAGAATCATAAAATTTGCTGAGGTGGTTGGTCATTGTTCAACACGACAAACGGCAATGACTGCCTTTGTCTCAGCATTCACAATTGAGTAGATTAGATTAAAACTCATCAAGGAGGCAAATGCCCTGTTTTGAGACACGCTGAAACAAACATGTGGCGACATGCTAATTCTCTTTTGTTTAGTTGTAAGATGTTGAGAGTACCTACGCGCTCCCCACATTGCCTTCAAGAGTGTCATCTCTTCAGCCCAAATCCGCCTGATCAAACAAGAGCAAAGACACACGCGCACACACATACACACACACACACATCACTCAGCTGGATGCTCCAACCTACTAGGGGCTCGTGGCCTTACTACTAGGAACAAGAAGCTACTAGGGGCTTGGGCTCGGAGGAGTGCCACTTGTCTACGATTCATTGAAGCCAGGTAGCAAGATAGGACATCCATTTTCTTTAAGATCTAGATAGGACATCTCTCTTTCAACAAGCTGTCTCGATTGAGGGCACTCTTTTCGGCTGTCCGGCTTTCAGTGAGTCTTACTGTCTGTTAGCTGGTCCTTCTTGGGTTCTTTCGCCAAGCCCCGGCCCCGACATGTCCGTGCAGGGCCACCGTTCCTCAATCCAGCATCCTCATCGATGAGCTTTTTGAAGCACACATGCATCAAGAGCCAGTCACGATGCTCTGCGATGCTAATGTGCGACAAGTCCACATCTCCTTGAGTGAATGTGAGAGCTTGGATGAGCTTTGAAACAATCAACCCCCAATGTCGAGAAGCAATGTGAATATAGTGTCATCCTGCAATGAGACACTCAAAACTTATGTCGACTTGACCTTGGCTTTTTAGTTGGTCCAGGCATGGCAGTGTTCACCCCTCGTCACTCAAGTACATGGCGCCGCAAAAAAAGCTGACTGAAGCAACTCCAAAGCTCGAAAAAAGGGGCTGAAGTGGATAGTCATGTCGAGTCCTGCAACGGAGTGGTTTTCTCATCGCAAAACATGTGTGTTCTCATACTGGACAGGCTTTCTAGAAAGCCATGTTCCCATGGCCATGAGGGAGTGTACATCAATATTCCTTCGAGCGATTGGAATCGCCCGGAGTCACAGAGTCACACATCGCCAGAAGCAGTAAGCAGTGGGTGGTTCTGGCAGGCTTCTCTCCGAAGAACTTCTTAAGGACCCAGGTGCTGGTCCATGTGCTGGTAATGCGGTCTGCACAAGGTATGGTGCAGTCTGACAGCTGACTTTGGCAAAACAGGAAAAACACTTATGCATTACAGAAGATTCTCATCGCACATCTCTTTCACTCGGGACTCTCAAAAACCATCGAACCCGAATCACAAAGCTCCCTCTCCTGACACCTTCCCAGCCAGTATTGTAGAGGTCCCTCCAAGCAAGAACCAAAGGATGATTCGCTCTGGCTGCCAGAAACCAATTCTCCACCTCAAACAGCAACAAACGGTCGACATGTTTGGCTGTCGACATGCCGAGACTCAACTGTTTGCTCAGCACACCACATACTCCTTGCTCACACCTGGTTCCATGCCAAAACAGGCCAAATACCAAGCACCTCCAGGTCGCGTTTTGGATGCAAAACACGGTGGGTCAAAGGCAATCCGACATGAGATCCTTTGGTTTGAAATAATATATATATACATGTAATACACATATATCATTATACACATGATACCACCTGAACAAAACTTTCCAATTTACTGTACATCTTTGAAACTTCAGTGTTAGAGACTTGCCATGGACTGCTAACTTCTAACAACCTGCTGTGGTCGTCCTTGACCCACACAAGGCAAACACGGGAACACAGTCCCTTTTGACATCTTTAATACATCTATAAATATATATATATATATCAGTCATAGTATCATATACCTAGAACCTGAGTGAGTGTATTTAGATCAGCAACCACCCAACAATACCCAACATAATTATTGTCTTTTCCTATTCCAAAAGTGGTCAGCAACCACCCAACAATACCCAACATATTGTCTTTTCCTATTCAAAAAGTGGTCAAATGGGTTCTAGGTACACAGAAGTAGCTCACTGGCAGCCTGCGTGAGTTTGATCTCTGTCGCACCTAGTCCCTGCTCCAGCGTACCATCTGACATGCTGCCCCAAAGCCAGTCCTCCGGATTGGAAGGTGTCGTGCCAAATAACACCTCAAAGCTCTTGCTTACCTGAAACACTTGCTAATGAAAATCCCGCTAAAATAGTTGATGTCACTTCTCCACCTCCAGTTCGAACTCCTCAACTATCTCTTGTACGTGGAACACGAGCCGGTAACTGAGCCCCAGCCATCAGATTTCTTTTTGCAGCGTATTCCCAAAAGCGTCCTCTAGTGGGCGAAGACAAATGGTGGCCACATCAGTATAGACCTCGAATCACACCATGTGGCGTTCAGTGAATGCGAGTATATAGTTGCGAATCAAATGTCGATTGGCAAGATCCTATCTCGATGCAATTGAAACGGATCACCACCTGATCACTCTGAAAGAGTCTGAAGATGCAAAGTAAGAGTAGACATACATATAAATATATAATACAGTAGATCAACCAACTAAGCTCACCATAAAACAAGAACACGGACAAACAACACACACACATCACGCAAAGGCAGCGGAATGTACACTCACTAACTAGATCCACCAAAACATTTTTGTGGGTGAACGGTGGTTCCAAAGTCTTGACGCCTAATGCACTGGGAGGTGGTTTCTTTGTACCTCAGAAGTGAACAATAAGTAAACATCTATCACTGCCCTGAGTCAGACTCCGCAGGTACCCACATCTGGGAGGACGGACACCTCCGTACTTGGCCAACAAGGCCAAACGTAGAGCGTCGGACTGTTGCGCCGCAGGCAACTCCTGCCAGCAGCTGGTTGTGGCTCAAAAATAACTTCACTCCTTTGAGGTCGCTGATGTCCACAACGGCCAAGTCTTTCAAAGGGTTTGGTGATCGTATGTGATCGCGTAACGCGGACACACCGCACTAAGATGATCAATTCAAATCAATTCAATGGTGCCAATGTGAACTTAGCATGAAGCAGTTGAATTAGCTGAACAAACATAGTGACATATATATATATTATATTCATGGTGACATATAGATTCAAAGGCTAGTTTGCGGCGTGGCATGCCAGTGGAAGACTCAAGCCAGGTCCAAGTCTGGGGTCCACTGCTTAACACCACAAGTGGATACAAGTGGACCCTGAGAGCCCATTATGGAGTTTGTCACGACCTTCCACTTTCATCAAACGATCTCATTTAACTGTATGGATCCGTGTAGTATAGTATACTTGAGAAGCGCGAACGGAAGCGAGAGAATACTTTGCTCATTCCACCATCCGCAAGAGAATTACATCATTAACTATCAATGGAGGCGATGGTGGACCAAGTCCACACCTGCTGCGTCCCGTTCCGGTCTCGTTCTGCCCAACTCCTCATAGCATCTCGGCAGTTCTGAGGGCTCAATGAAGCGGGCCACTGTCTCTTTCTCGAGGATCTTGATCTGGATTGGTGTAATTTCTCTTGAGAGACCAAGGACTTCGGCTTCTGTGTGCCTGGGGGTATTGCTTCTCCCACTTGCTGGTGCCCCAAAATTTTGAGTGCGGGTCTTGGGAAGGTGGCACGTGAAATCTATCAAACACAGGTTTATTGAATCAAAGCATGAGCTTGCTGGGGCACAATGAACGAGCCATGAGGTCCGAACAGAAACAAGAAGAACGTGTACAAATGGACCGATCAAGTTCGGACAACCTTCGGTCAACTTCTCACGCCTTCCAATCAGGATTCTGCACTTGCCATGTGTGCACGCAAAGACGCCTGCCAGGCAGCATGCAAACCAAGCTTAATAGCGTTTGAACTTGAACAAAAAACAAGAAGGCCATCATGGATGCAATGAGCAATAATAGCATAACTTATACTGTCTTTTGGGACCCATTTCCATCCACAACCCCCCATGGCCAACCGTACGAGCTGGAACTCACGGCGCATGAGTCGAAGGAAACCTGCTGTGCACTGTGCACCTGCATGAAAGCAAATCCACTAGGACACACGACCTGTCTTTCATTCTTTTGTTCTGTCTTCGTTTTTATCAATCTCTATCACCCTCATTTGATGCATGTATTTGGGATATGAACTTATCATTGATGCTTCGAAGTCCAAAATGTCTAGCCTTCTCTCTCCTATATTGGGATGGATCAACACCCCAAAGAACCTGTCGCATCCTGTTTGCACTGTGGGGGTGGCAAGAGTAGGCGAGCTCCTCCAAATTCTAAAACCTCCTGACAGCCATCTGCGGCCAACCATGCCACCCTGACAACTGCACCCTGCTGAATCCAGCCGAACAAATCACTTCTGTGCTTCCGGGTCCGAGCCCCAAAGAAACACGGAAAGCCAAAATGTGGCTTTGGGCCTGAAGCCATTCAGTTGCTTGGAGCCCTGCGCCTCAACGGTGCGTGAGGCAGGACATTGGAGAGATGGGCCATCGCCCCAAATGACTCTGCAGAATACTTGTGTCTTTGATCTCTATGTCTATATATATATATACTGTACATACATGCTTCGACGTAGTTAGTTTCGAGAAGGCCAAATTGTTTGATTCGCTTTGAGTTGCTTGAGCAACCAGCGCATGACAAGTAGAGACATCATCACATTAAACAACTTATTAAACACTAACACCCTAGTAATCAGTTCTAATGCTCCTTCAGGCTGGCAGTCTTGTCATCCCCACCCCACGCAAGGTCATCCCAGAATTTGGTCAATAAATACGTCGGACACGACCATCTCTGTGAGTACATGTCACGTTCGTGGGAAAGTTATACACACGCTTTTCTACATCCTTTGAACGCAGGGTTGTCGCTTGTAGAGTACGAGAACTCTGCCCGAGCCTCAGAGGATCCTTTCCGGAACTCGAGTTTGGAGCACTGAGGCTGGCACCCAGTACATCCAGATCACTTTGGGCGCATCCTCACTTGGAATTGAGAGGTCACCTGCACCGAGATTGGCTGGGAGCAATCGACACGTGTAATTAGCTCAAAACAGAGTGAGCCAATCCACTATAATCCGCTCCGTGGCAGGTTCAGCTTCTCCTATCAACTTTGATTCTGCAGTGACCACAGTGCTTTGCATGTGCGGATCTTAGGAAAGCCACGGAAAGCCTTGGTCTAGAGGTATTTCCAACCACTCTCGCAGTTGCGGAGCAGCGGTCCTGCATGTGCGAACTGAAAGAAGAAAAAGAAGAAGAAGAAGAAGGAGAATGATCAAATCGACCAAGCACATCTCTGGAGATCTCCGGACGACCACAAAAATTGTGATGAATTTGGGAGGAAACTGGTCAAAGACTCACAGAAAGCACCATCCTAGCAGCCCCAACGAACTGGACATCTCCACTCAGTTTCTCCAAAAGCACCTGACTCTGCCCACTCCAGTCACCCTCATGTCAATCCGCAATCCACCGCGTCTCCTTGGCACCGCGTCACGTGGTAACCGCAGTCTTCGCCGCCGCGGCTGGATGAAGCCACCCGTGGCGATGAAGCTGCAAGGAGGAGTGTGAGGTTTTTTTGCTGGCCTTTATAGTGAAACTTACTAGCAAGTTATATACAGTAACTACTGTATATACAGTAAATATGTATAGATATTATAGGAGGAAGTTTCTGATCACATTTCAAGCTGAGGGAGGGTCAAACTAGATCAAACTAATACCATTGATGTGGCAGGATGTGGTACGGCACAGGGCATTCTAGATTGCAAAGCAACTCTGGAAGATGTGGACAACCAACAGCCAAACAATATGACAATATCATCATACAAACACATGTAAACTGTAAATCCACATCTACCATTTTACATAATTTTACCAGGAGGGCCTTAGGAGGGGTCACTTGCTTTCTTCAGGCGAAAACACAGCCAGTAAACAGCCCAAACAATCTCCCAGTCCATGCCTTTGCAGCTCATCCTTTGACCAAAGATCTGCATCGGCAGGAAGAGCCTGCCCGCTGTAGACAAAGCCAGGCTGTTCCTGCCGTGCCAGAAGGTTGCCCGAGGTTCCAGTGACTTATAGTGACCTTTAGTGACCTTACAGAGTCCACCTTTGCCAAATCATGACGACTGGAAACCACTGCTACATTTCCAGTTGTGCTACAAGACTACAAGATTCATACTATTTATAGAGGCAACATGCACCTGATGACGCTGCGGACTCTAAAGTTTTGGAGATGTCATTCGTATGCACCTGTCAATACAAATCAGCTTCAGCTCTCCAAGCGAGATCAAGCTTCTCCCCGTCGGCTGGGGCTTCGCTGTGTGTCCAGAAGTTTGAGCCGAGCCGTAAGCGAATCTTCGTTGCTGATTCTTCATCCCAAGATCGACGATCATGACGATCAGTCTTTACATCGGATTGGTTCCTATAGAGTCCTTTCAAGTATTTCATACTGCCAAAATCAGAAAATGTGCATAAAGGTTCCGGCCCCCCGGTTGAGACCTTCCTACCTCGTTTGGCGTCTCAACAACTCTTCGAACTCGTCTCCTCCAGTGCTCGTCTCCTCCGATCTTGGAACGAGCCATCGGGCGTCGACGCAGGCCAGAAAGGCCACGCACCTGGTGACGTACACCGGCGTCCCCATGGGCCGGACACCGGCCAACGGAGCCCAACGGAACGGAATGCGTGTGAGGAGTTTCTCACCAGGTTTCAAAGGAGGTTGGTGTAGGGATTGGACAAAATGATTATTCTTCCATGTTCTTCCCATAACATTCATTGTGAACGTGGCTTGTATTGGATATTGTTTCCGTTGCAGTGCTGGATCTCTGTTTTCACACGATGACAAGTGACCTCATAGCAGTAACTCGGCTCATTAGATTAAACCTTGCAAATGCATGCTGCTAAGGAAACATCAACTGCTATGACTTGGGGGATCCATTTCCAACTAGCTGACTCGTGGAAATTTACACCGGTCACCGGCCAGTTCCATCAGTGATCTTTTCGGATGGACCGACGCTGTCAGACACACCGTCTGGGACACGCGTCACGCTCAGCCAGTCGTGTGGGCGGAGGAGTGGCACCTACTCTCAGCTGCAGTCCAAGGAGTCTCAATATCTCGGACATGGTGGTGTCTTCCTGCGGCATTTTTGGGGGGCCTCTCGGAGATGCGCTATATTTCGGAATGCAGGGCGATGCTGTTCAAATCCGAGAGATCGTGAGGGGGAGATGAAACCCTTGGGATATCTTGGGATCAAAGACATGGTGGGGCCACCATTTCGAGCTTTGATGTGGCAGGGAATGTGATTGAGGAAACTCACCTTCTGATATCTTGGCTGGGAGACGTCATCATGAGATGTCATGGGAAGCCCGGTTGGGCCAGAAAGCTGTTGGCCAATGTCAGTTCAGCAACGTTCTGAAAAGCAACTCTCATTTGGAGGGACAAATCGGTCAGCAAAACTTAAAACTCCGGTTGAAACTTCTCCATCTGAGGCATGGCATGAGAATTCGGGTTTCCCTACGACATGAATGATTTGCCATGTCGATCTCAATAACAACGGCCACAGCTCATCTACTCCATAAATTTGACATCTTCAACGTCGCCTTCACCAGCAAGTCCGTCGCACACAAGAGTCGTTGAAGAGGCGGCACCATGGCCTGGAAGATGGGTGTCACATTGATGCTTGCTTGTCATGGGCATGTGGGTTCCACTGGATGGCCTCGCCCGAGCTCCGCAGGACGGCGATCGAAATATCCAATGAGACCGAATGGACCTCTTCACGAACTCGGCGAATGTCAGAAACACATCACTCACATTTTGTAACTATCATGTAATATCTATAAACTGTCTGCAATATCTATTTAACTATCTATATCTATATATATATATACATACATATAATGTTACATGTATACATATCCCAACAAACCACAAAAAAAAACAACTGGTTCCAATGATCCAAGTTGGTTCCGTCAGCTCCCCACTTCGTCCGAGCGTCCTCGCTGAGGTAAGGCTTCACGGCCATGGCAGCTGGGGACAAAGCCAAGGGCTGATGCCACCAGCCAGGTGGAATCAGCAGCACATCGCCTGGGTGGGAGCAGGTTCAAGCGAAGTCAGTGGGTGAGAACTGTGGGGGGATGTGATTTGCAGAAATCGCGGTTGTATATATAGTGGTTGTGTAACAGAGTGCTTTGAACCATGAGTTGAAGATACAGTGGAGTCACCATAGTTCCAGCATTCCAAGCATGATCTTTGACATTGGAAGAAATCCTAACAAATTGGACATCAACTCTTCACATCCCAGTTGGTTTGACAGCACACTGGGTATGACTTGGTGTATACAAAAATATCAAGAACCAGGGTTCGGTTCCCAGCTGGTTCAGCTCGGTCTGCAGTCTGAGCTCACCGGTCCCGTGGCCCTCACCTTCGTGCAACTCTGCCTCCAACTCGGCCGAAGCAGCAAAATCATGGTGAAACCTCGGTCGTTCGTGAACCGATCTGCTGGGCGGATCCGTTTTTCTCTGCCAGTCTACCATTGACCTGTGGAAACCATCCTCAAATTTCTTAGCCAGCAGAAACATCGAGATTTTCACTCGTACTTCACACAGAAGTGTCAAATAAGTGAGCCTTTAGGAGACACGAGGAGCCAATGGGCCCAGTGGCCCAGCGGTTGTTCGCCTATTTTGAGGTTCCGGGCAAATCGACCCGTGACAGCGCTGCAGTGCGGTGTCCCAGCAAGGCGTCGCTGGGCACTGGGCCTAGCAGTCTTCTGTGGGGAATTCCTTGAAAAAGGTAGACGTCTGTAATTTGACGCCAAATGCTGTGTCAAATCGTCACCAATTGGCCGAAAGGGTAGCTCTCGGTCTCTGAGGGGAAGACACGCCTGTTATATAGCCGAACATCTGCGAACCATAAATCCATCTCGGGACATTCAATAAGTAGCGATGCGTAGCGTCTTGGCTTCCTCGGTGACCCTAATATTAATCTACTAATACCATGTGTGAGCAGCCAAACCTTGCAGGGAGTTCTCCTGGCTCTAATTCCTGCAGAAAGCGTGAGCTCATGTCAGTCGTGCACAAACATGGAATGGAACCTACAGTAGCGCATTGTAGTATATAGTATACATCGCATCGGTTCTATAGATAGTCATATTAGTACTATACGACAACGAGTATGCTCCACTTTGCTCTTGCCTCCTGTCAATCATGTTGATCTAAAGTCGACAGAGCCAGCTGAGCCCTCTCTTTAGTCTCAAAATGTCTCAAACTCCATGCGCTACCTCTGAAACAACCCTTGCACAGACCTGCAATAACAAGACAGTAACAAACAAACCTCCTGCCTTCGTGAACTACTTCCAGCTGAGATCGGCACGTCCCCACTTCCCATCCCATGCTTCCGGACCACCGAATTTTGAGTGGTTCTACGCCTAATTTTGCGTCCCACACCACTCAGCTGGCAGTTGGGTACAGCTCCAATCAGCTCCATCTATTAGCTCCATCCTGATACGTCAACAATATCAATGCAAAGGTGGCCATGACAGGAAGTCTTCCCAATCTTTCCATGTCCAGAGTCGAGGTCCATATGAATGCCCAGTGGCTCTCCGGCGGACGCAAACGCACCTGAAGCGGCCCGCCGGCCAGCAAGGCCACCGCGTGCCCGAACGGGAGCGCCTCGCGGCGCAGGAAGAAGTCGGCACCTGGGCATGCGACCATTGATCATCTGGTGATCGAACTCCAAAATGAGGGCCTTTGTGGGGTTTTGATGCTATTTTGTTGGAGGCCATCGCTCTTGGGTTGGAGGCCATTCGGTTTTGATGCCGATGTCGTGGTGACCTGGCAAAAAGCAGCTTCCAGGCTAGGTTGAGTGCTTACGGTGTCCACATCGTTTTGGGAATCCACTTAGACCCACAGTGCTTCTGTGTGCCTTGTAGAATGACTGGGCCGAAGGTATCGGGACATCTGCAAAGGAAGTGAAGGAAGGGCACCAACCTAGGGGTGATTCTAGTGCAGAAACCCCATCACTAAGACTCTGCGTGCACTTGGACCCTTAGACTCTGCATTAATGGTTTCGTTCTTTCAAAATCGGAAGAAACCGCTTGTGGGTCAAGTGTTTGGTGAAATTGCAGGGAACAAATGCCATTTGGCTCAACTGGCTCAACCCATCTCAACCCCATGTGCCGGCCTTCGCCCAGCAAAGCACAGGAGAAGGAGGGGGCTGAAGTGCCAAGCTCCAAAGGGATTATCTCATCCAGGAGATCACCTTAGTTGCTTGGATGAATCTGATGGATTCTGAACACTAGTTTAGTTTGATCTGTAAACCAGTTAAAGTACACATCTTCCGAAGTCTTCATGATTATTCATTACTCCTAAGTCTTCCGGGTCTGGTCTCCATCGCTCACCGGATCGAGGAGAGACCGTGCGACCGGAGCGACCGGGCACTGAAAGGTAGCCCAAGAGGTCCAGCGCACGTAGCAACTCGGAGGAACTGCCACGGAAGGTGATGCCCCTTCCACCCTGCCGCTTTGGGATCTGGGGGCGCCGAACGGTGCCTATCCCAGCTTTGCCTATCATGGCCTATCCCTATCCCAGGTTGGTGCAAGCCCACGATTCGATCTACATGTTGTTTCAGCAAACAGCAAGAGGTACCAACTGTGACTGGAACTTGGGAGCCATACACACGGCTGGATCGGCTGGTCTTGCTTGCCCGTCTAAATTGCTCAAGGCCTGGGGAAGGGTGAGCTTGACTGGAACGAATCTTCTGCAGGTTCAATCACACCTCTGCACATGGGTAATCACTGTCTCACCAAATGATCCAGGACATGTGATTTGCATGTGCTCCACTGAGTCCACTGATTTCGTCCACTGATTTCAACATATTTCAACCCATTGCTCATCATTACTCCATGATACTCCATGCGCATGATACTCCATGTGAGTTACATGTCGTCTAGCATCTACACCTAAGATGATAACATCCTCTTTAAGTACTCGAGTGCCCCAAGGGACACAACGCCTCCGATCCTGAAGCCATAGCCGCCCCATCAAACCACCAAGCAAAGTCCAACCTGCCACGCGCCCAGCACGATGGCGGTGGCCGGTGCTGCCCAGGCATATCGTAGGAACTGGGGTGCATCCCGAGCCGCCGACGGGCCTCAGACTGGCGGGGTCAACGTTCGAGTCTCAGCTAAAAGCCAAGGACGAAGGAAAAGGTCCATCGAACATGCACGGACGAGATTGGCAGAATTTGAGGGATGACGAGAAAAGTGTGTTTTGTTTTGTCTGTTTTAGTCAGTGTATGCTGATGTAAGGACATGTCTAGCCACCCGTAGAGTTATTTGTGGAAACTGAATTAGAATAAGGGGAACTGTGTACATAGTGGTGCCGTGGTGCCTCCCTGAAGTTGAACTCAAGCCCCGACCCTTTTGGCTCCAATTTTCCTGAACATCCATCGGAGTTCCATCCATCGAAGACGTAAATCGGATTTTGCCCAGACGCACAGCTCTTCTGCCGCCTCGGGTCTTGGTTTCGACATCTGTCAGATTCGTCTCACCGCCAACTCCAAGCGCCTCTGTTTGGACTCCGCTAAGGCAGCCCGATCTCAGTTCGGGGCCAATTGGCATCTGAGCTGAAGAGATTCCAAGACGCCCTTCAAACGCTCCAAGCGTGGCAGGGGAGCTCCCTGCAAAGGAGATGGAGGCATGTCATGGAATGTTTGTTGCTTGTATTTTCGAGCAAATGTGACCCAAAGACCACATGAAACCTCCAAAACCAAGAGGCTAGATAGGACATTTAAGTTCGACATTAATGAGGCATACACACAGTACTGAGCATCCCCAACAAACAACAGATTATCCCGGTAAGAGACCCCAAGCAGTGTCTGTGTGAGGTCTAGAGGTCTGAGGTGTAGCAGCAGAAAGTCTAGAGATCTCGACGCATTGGCGTCCAAAGAGGTGATGGTGGTGATGAAGGTGGAGATCGTGGTGGTGGTGGTGAGTGAGCGTGAGTGAGAGTGAGAATGTGAGTGAGAGTGAGGGTGGGAGTGAGAGCGAGAGTGAGAGCGAGGGTGAGAGTGAGAGTGAGAGCGAGAGGGAGAGTGAATGAGTGAATGAGTGAGTGCGAGTGTGAGTGTGAGTGTGAGTGTGTGAGCTACGAGAGCGCAGTCGCGACAAGCACCCGCTCCAGCCAACCAGATTTTGCGAGCCTGCGCAGTCGAAATGCATTTCGAGGATTTCGAAAGGCGCATGAATATAATGTACTGTAAATAGCAGCGAATTGGCCGGACACGGATGCGCGACACCTTGATCAGACACTGGCCCTTAACCCCTACCGAAAGACCCCTTAGTGTGACCACACTGTTTGGGGAATAATATGCATTTGGAGCCAGGTTCCAGCTTGGTTCTGCCACAGAAGTTGTGCTCCTTTCCGATGTTGAAACACCACCGGAAACGCGATGGCCTTCCACCCAGAAACGCTGGGCACGGCAGCCTTCAGCACTGAGGGGCCGGAGGCCTGAATGTAGGAAGCGTTGGGAACTCAAAGGGATAACAACATGTAAGATGTGAATTGGACAAATAATACCAAAAGGCCAATAAAATAAACCCAGAGAAAGCTTATAATGAACATGTATGAAAGCAATGGTATTTTTTATGGAGATTCATAGCCCAAACATGATCCATGTTCCTCGGCTCCTCTCGGGTCATCAGTCCTCTGACCGTCTCGTCTCGCCTGAGTCCCAGGCATCAAGCAACCAACGCTTGTGACCTGATCCAGTCGAGCGGGGATCGCGCCAGTCAGACCCAGTCCACCTGCCTGGTGCCCCGTCCGAACAAAGCCACGAAGATACCTCAGCTGACTGTTTATCACATGTGGTAGGGATCATAGGTGTCCAAGGATGCTCCCAAGTAGCACATGACAAAAGCAATACCAGGTGAACCTAAGTCACGAGGAACTATAGAGTGATTAAAGGATCTGAGGTCTCTGAAGTCATTCGCCAAGATTTACTGGCAATCTGACTCTGAAGGCCACGGGCCATTGGCGGTAGTATTACATGAAATGGTTCATGCGTTCATGCTAGGACAGCGGGGGCTCACTTAATCACCGGATAACACTGTTATATAGGTAAATGTGTGCAGGTTAAGGACCGTTTCTTGCTCATCCGAGCTGCTGCTTTTGCACCCAGCCTTCCATTCCACTCATTGTCCTCGTCAAGCAACCAGGCGACCAACACCCGAGGAACAACTGATCAACTATGCTGATCAGGACCCGCTGTAGAAAGTCCAGCACAACAACCCGTTAGCCAAGGCCAAAAACATCCTGCAACGTCACCCTTTGGCCAGCAAAGACTACCTTTCAACTGAATGTTTGCATCACCAATTAGAAAACAAAGCTGCATCACTCAAAGGTTTTCCAGCTTGACATTGGGTGTGCAGTGTTGTTTTCCTCTGATTTGCCGGCCTTTGTTGCGAAACACATGTGCAGTTCTTCGTCTCTTTTCACATGTTACACATGATGATTTAGACTCTATTCATGTGGATGTGTAAAAGCAACGAATCTTCTCCCTTTTCAATTTTGCTCTCCTTCGACTGGGATTTGCACCAACATTCTGAAATTTGCCTACGCAACGGAAAATAAGTTCAAGTCTATACATGTTTCAATGTCCTCAGATCCAAAGAAACTAAACCTGTTCTTTCCCTGAGTCACTTTGCTTTAAACTAGTAGCTAATGAACTAGTTGACCCCATGTTAAACTATAGTAATTAGTTGACCCCATGCGCTTGACCCGGAACCAACAAAAGCTTGCCTGCCCTTCAAAAGTGCGCAAGCCCAATCTCATCAACAACATCATGAGTCACCAAAAGCTTCCATCATCAAAACCACCAAAACCACCCCAGTCAGCTTCCATGACTTTCATAGCAATCCAATTGGCGTCACAGACCCACCGCCGTCCTGACTCTTGCGAAGCTGCCAGCGAGCTCGAGAACATCCACTGCGGCGCCATCCGGAACCGCCTCCTGAGGGCGTCATGTTGGCTTTGTGTCGTCCCCTGAATCCATCCCCTTCCAATCGAAGGCCAGCCATGTTGGTGTGTCTTCCGCTTTCATTATGCGACCCGGGAAGTGCCTTTGAGTGGATCTGTATGGATCCACGCCAAGCCACACCACATCCATCACCTCTTGTTAGATTTTGTGGGTTGTTCACTCCTCATAGAAGGGAATCTGAATGTACAAAAGGAGCACGAACTCTACCAGGGAATCTATCAAACTGGACCATCAAACCAAAAGCTACAATATGCTACAATACGAACTAATCCAGCTGAAACACATTATTTAACCGATTTACCCTGATTTTGTCACCACTGGTGTCACTCAGCTCCCGGATCAGCTCTCCTCCCAAAAGACCTCCGGGTCACGAGACTCCGTGGGCCACCTCCGCAGCTGCGTCCGCCACGGCTCACCGTCTCGGCAAAGGTACCTCGTTCTGATTGATTTCTGTATATAGAGAGAGATACACATATCTTATATTAGACATGCAAATGATATATGCATATAGATGAGACGTTTTTCAATCATATATATATATATCATCTGTTTTATGTGTACATATAGCAACAACTATATAAGTTACCCTTTGAATCGTTCTTGTTTTGTCACAAGGAAAGCCGAAAGGCTGCGCTAAACTAAACAGAACTGAACTAGCTGCATTCGTACTCTCAAAGCCCAGACCAAACAAGGACCGTGTACGCTCAGCATGATCTCCTCAAGGAGTCTCTCGTGTTTGTCAAACCGGGGTAGGACGGTTGGACCAGTAAACCAGAAAAGAAATTCATGTCTTATTGCCCAAAGCAATGAACTGAACATATCTGAACAACATATGTTGGCCCTCTAAGGTGCATGTTCGATCCGCTTCCTTCTGACCTGAGCGGCGCCAAGAGTCCACACTCGCGACGTCGGCCTCGGTGTGGCGATGTCGGTCATCTCGACATGGGATTTGGTATCAAAGACCTGCGTGCACTGACCTTGTCAAACTTGAACACTTCTTAATAGTTCTGTATATTTCTGTATGTCTGTTGGCTGGCCTGAAGTGGCTCGCACTTTGACGTACTTTGACCTTCAAGTTTATATCTGCACTACACTCCAAACTCTCTGCTTCCATGCGTCATTTCCGGGGGTTAATTCGTTTGGCTCAAACAGAAAACATGCCAACAGAACCCGGCACCGGGTAGATCCACTGGCACAACATGGCACAACCAATATATCAATCTTTACAGCCAAACGCTGGAACATCCCTCCCGTCAAGTTTCTGCAATCCTCGAGTCGTCGAGTTCCGAAGGCATGTTGATTGGCAAGCCTGCCCTCTCCCTGAACATCGCAGGCGAGCTACAGTGCCCCAATCTCCTTTTTAGGCAGAATGGGAGCGAAACCATCGGCCAGGCCTCCATCGTGCTGGCACGATCAAAGGATTGCACGCAACAACCTCCCTGACAAACATGGAACATCAATGAGCATTGGCATACTCATCTTCTATCTAGAAGTAGCACAACCTACAGAAACCGGAGTGATTTTTGTCCTAGTTTTGCGCAAAGCCTACAGTATTGTTTGGGCTGATTAGAATTTGCCTACACGCATAGATCCTCAAGTCTGCCTCCACCAAAGTTCCCGCCTTCCAAACGCCACTTCCGGTGCAACGACCTGCAAAAGCTGCAAGAGGTGCGCCAATGCACCGAGGCTGTACACTGCCAAGGGATTGGCCTCGAGAGGTAGAGTGGTTCCCGGTTTTTAGACTGGGGTCCGACTGTAAAATGGCACGGCATGTTGGTCTGTTTGTCCAGAACCCCTGCATGGATTGCATATTCAAGAAAACATTCTAGCGTTGATTCTTAAAGCAAAACACTAAATGTAACAGAATCAATGCCCTTTGTGCAAAGATACTCCGATCCCTACTGTACTCGTTCTTGTTGGCAACAAGGTTTCTCGCGTGTGTGGCTTTGATCAGCGACGTGTATTGCAGGATATTGAACGTATGGTCTCATTCCAAATTGACAGAGACAGACTATATACCAGTACATTTTTCCATTATATATTTATTAGGATTCATCCGATATGCATTTGCCTCCCAGCACTGAAAATCCCAGCTGTAAACTGCATCAAACATCAAATTCCATCAAATTCCTGAGGATTAGGTCGAGCACCCATAGCTCCACGCCTGACCCTCTGTGCTGTGGTCCAGGCAAAGCTCGTGCCTGGTCCTGCGGTCCGCTAGACGACTCTGCTGAACCGGTGCTGTCCATCCGAGTCTTTTTCCCTAAGCAACGCTTACCTAAGAGCGATGGCCTCCAACCCTCCAACCTAACAGCGATGGCCTCCAACCTAGAAGCGATTCCCGAAGCAACGCTTTGATTGAATCCATGGTGAGAAGGTTTCCCGCCCCAAAGCCAGGCCTGCCAAGGGTCTGAGGGCTCCAGGAAAGCGACAACAGAAGTCCTCTGGTAAACTGGTCATCTCGTGTCATCTCCATATTTCACGTGGATGTCTGTAAAGCACAGGGGATCAGTACGGCAAAAACTGGTCAGAAAATGACCGGGACCCTTGGGAATCTAAATCGGTCGAACAGCTACCACTGGATATGCATGGAACACTTGCAACCAAGGTGGACCTGTTGGCTCTCCCTCCGTTCTGAATCCAAGTAGATTTGTCCCGCAGCTGCTGGTGTTGTTCATCTCCCTAAACCTCAAACGCCCGTCTGAACCTCGCAACGCCCGTCCAGGTCGAGGATAGCAGCATGGTGTAAGTGTGCCACTTGCATGGCATGTTGCGCACCATGTGCAAACACAGCGAGGCGCAAAGTGCGAGTGCTTGGTGGTCAGTGGAGTAAGAAGCCTACAGTAGAGAAACCTTTGGTTGAACTTTTTGATTGATCCAAGAGATTCTGAGACTGAGACTATATAATCCCTTGTACATAGATTCTATATAGTGACATTAGTGACTAATTGGTTTCCATGTCAAGAAAGCGTCTACTGTTTCCCTACTGCACGGTGCACATGCACCAGCGTGTCTAGAGATCCACCTGTAAAACAGCGGGCGAGCCTATATAATGTCCGCGTATTGGTAGCTTGTGTCACAAAACAGAGCTGGAGCTGGTGGATGCTAGTTGTGGTTCGTCCATCTTCTGTGATGTCATTATCACAAAAACTAATAGTCAAGAGCTGCAGAAAATACCAGTGATTAATCCGCAGCCAAGTAGTGCCTCTATACGCCTCAACCAATTTCTGACCTGGCTTTTCTGCAAACTAGACACTACTCCAAGCATCTCCAAGCACTCCTTCGTACTCCAAGCATTCAACACCAAGAACTCACAGCCCCAACTCTGCACCGGTCACGGATCAGCATGATCAGCTCGGTTTTTTTCCATTGAGCCGCGGTCACGGATCAAGTCCGACCACACTTTTTCAGGAACATAGGTTGAATCGTTACCACCTCACATGTTCCAACGTGACAACCGAGCATCAGGTCAGGAGTGCAGGGGATGAGGATGGATGAGGGTCTGAGAAAGGCTTAGAGTTACGCCTGAGCTGCAACCGGAAGTGTATGACTGTATAACTACCAAAAGAATCCCACAGAAAAAAAGCCCCATGCCGTCTCGTGCAACAGATCGCCGAATGCCTTTCATCCACCTGCTTTTTGGCCTACACCTATTCAGAACTGCTGCAAGCAAGCTGCTAATTTCCCAATCGCCCTTAGTATCATCCTGAGTCGCGAGAGGTGAATCTGACTCGCTCAGCATCGAAGGTATCTGACTCGCTCGGCTACCCTATGCGGTTTATGTGGGGGCCCTATCTAGACTATTGAAGTAGGAGGTCATGTCACAGTATCTCATTCAGACGTAGCAGATCAGACTACTTTAGTGTCATCAAGCTATCTCGTTTATGTGGGCCCTATCTCGTTCACAAGCGAATACTGATGATAGACAAGCAAATAGAGCATCCCTTAGACCACTTGAGTGAAGCCTAAATACCAGTGGTTGCTCATATACAGTAATGAAATGACATCCAACACATCCAACAGCAAACGGGACCTATATTATATAAGTGAAAAGCCGGCCAATGTTCCCATGCAAATCCTATGGTTTGAATCATCTTGCTGCCAAGCTATGCCATCTCACATCTTACCATCACCCATTTCGTGGGGCGAATCACCACCGCCCGGTTCGCGAGATGCGAGCTTGCTGATTTGGAGAAATGAAGTGTATCACTATGTATCACTGGCATTATCCATCATGACCCCTAACACGTGCATCTCCAAAACTGCAGCCCAAAATTTGATGGACAACTAATCAAACGTACAATCCAACCAAAGGCCGAGGGTTGGATATGATTCGTCATCTGCCTTCATTGTTCAGCATGCCAATCATGGACCCTCCTCCTCCTCCTCCTCCTCATACATGTCCTTCTAAGATCCTGTTTCGCCAGTTTTTTGCCAATGATTCCGAAACTAAACTTCCCAACTCTCTCTAACAGCCAAGTCGCACCTATCATTTTTCCCGTCGCTCCAGGGATCATGCCGGCGACAAGGACTGGTGGAGCCTTCAAAGGAGAACACTCCACATGAAATGGTCAAAAACAAGTGGATGTGCATCAGAATAGCGAGCCCCAAACCAATGGGAGTTTAAAGTTATACAAAAATGCTCTTTAGAAACCCTCGGGAGACAATTGGGCAAGCTGCTGCTTTGGGGAGAGTCACGCAGTCGGGATGGATAAATGTCCGTAGCTTGCGGTGACAAAAAAGGATTTGAATCAAGTTGAAGGATTCCAACACTCAATTCACACACGTATAGGTATGGCATTGCAGCTTGTAGACCTGTGACCGACACGGGGAAGTTGTAGATTGCTCAATAATGAATGTAGGTTCATATATATATATATATGTATATAATTGTATATTATATAAGGCCGACCAGGGCATGCTAGGTGCCGGAAATTTCATCACTTTAAGGCAAACCATCACCAACTTACGAACATGAGGGCTGACAAATCGAAAGTCCAGCTTGTGATCACCGCATCTCATCTACCATAAATAAAGGTGGATTCCAATGTTCTCAAGAATTGGATCGGCAATGATCAATCATGCAAATTCAAGCCCTAGATTCAATAGACTCAATGGACACTATGCTGATGAGATTCGGAACAAAAACATCTACTGCAAAAAAACTGACAGCAGTTAGTCCATGAATGACTTACTTTCAAGACTTCAACCTTCGAACACCAAAGCCTTTCCGGTTTGCACATTAAGCCCCCTCTACTGCCCCCCTCTATATACAGCCTTAGGTAGAGCATCGGGTGTTGTCCACGTGTAATACAACACATGATACTAGCACGTATGATGAAGAACATCTATGATAGGTATGTATTGGGGATGGTCATGGTCGGCTCGTCTTCCACTTTCCCGTTCGTAATCGAAGCCAACCAGGGTGGGGGGGCCGGGGGGATCCTGTCCACCCTCAACGGCCGGCCGCTTTTTCTGCGGACCTCCATGCCGACCTCAATGAGTGTCATCGGGGGGACCCTCTCCGGACCAAAGTCCTGGCGGGAGAAGCTGTGTTTCTTGGTAAAGATTGAGCTCAAAAGCATACAGAACTTTGTAGCCAACAAAGCCAAGCAGCTAAAATCTATAGGAATTCAGGAAGAGAACCAAACAAACATCAAATGCATAAAGCTTTGGTGTCAAGGAAGCCACGTGGGCAGTACGTTGCAACCCCTTTTGCATGACCAGCGCAAAACTGAAGAAGCCACCGCACCACCGGTTTCTTGCAAAAACACAGATACACAATGGTTATCAATGGTTCTTATCCACAACAAAACTCCCAGAACTTGGTCTTCATGAGCGAGCACCTATCGTTCTTACTGGTTTGTGTGTGCAACCTTGTAGATGGTCACGCGATGTCACGCGCATGCGACCTTGCGAGTAGGTCTCTTACAAGTGGCCTTTAGGCCCTTGGACTGCCTTGGTTCCGACTGCTTTGAAGCGGAAAGGATGCGGCGGCGAACTGAAACGCGGTTCCAAACACATGCGGTTGAGACAAGCCTTCAACTGGTCGTTGATACAGCGAGCCATGAATGGCATGAAATCTGTTCCAAATCATGGTATGGATAACAGCCAATCGCGTGAGCCGTCTCAGTCATCACCAAGAAATGGAAAGGGCAAACTCCCGGAGCCGTGCAGCCCAGAAATATATGTTTGTTCGGTTATATAAACGTGGTTAAACAACTACAGCAATAGCCGCTATAGTATATACTATTCAATTCTGTCGGACTTTAGAAGTAATGCATATATTATATATATTTGTTTCTTTGAACAAGTGCAACTTTTGTTTGGTTTTCGTTGGCAGTGGTCAAATACGTGGCCGCGCCTGAATGAGCTGTTGCGTGACCAGTGCCTGGGCGAGGTCTGGGTCGGTCGACCGTGTCTGGCATCGCAAGCAGTGATCTTCCACTATGAGTGCAACGGGGCTAATAGCTATCAGCTCTCTCACACCTAGTACAGGATTTGTCACATGAATCAAGTGTCTTCCTGTACGGTTTCGGTTAAACCTGTTGCCACCTGAAAGCGACCTGGGGACCACACACGAGAGTGTCACTGTCCTCCCTTTCACACTTTGTGTGCGTGTGGGAATCAAAGGAGGATGCACATCCCCAAGCACGACGTTGAGGGACAGCAAGTGTCTATATATATATACACATATAGTTGTTTTTTTGCTGACATTAAGAATCACCCTATGTACAACTATCTACAGATGTGGCCAGGTGTCATACAAATCTGCCGGTGAACTCGAATGGTCGCTCCCGACTCCGTGGCTCCGATGGTCCGGGCCTTCTCAGTGTCGGTGGAGCAGGAGGAGGTCGCTGAGTCCTGGAGCGGCGGAGCGGCGGCCCGTGCGGAGGCCGTGCCGAACGTCCCTTTGCCCCGTTCGTAGCGTCCGTGCTCCTAGTAGCGATGCCAGGAGCCCCGTTCGTAGCGTCCGTGCTCCGCACTTCTATTCATTTTCTTTTGAGACTCAAAAGATGCTTTGGGGGACTGAGAAAGCCTGTATGACACACTCGAACGGCCATGAAGATGATGCAGTTAGCAATATGAGTGAGGAGACTACTGAATCAAAGGACCTGTCAAAAACCATCACATTGATGGCAACAGATCCCAAAATACAACCAAGGCAAAAGAGAAAGTCATGATGGGCAATACAAAGGGCTTCCCCATGCGATGAATATCTGGGCAAGATAGACAAATGAGGCTGAAATCTGCAATGTGACAAGTAATCGCAAATTGGCATCATTGGGCTCGAAGCTGATCTCTCTCAGTGACAGTCCCGCCTCCCTTGCCTGACAAATTGGATCCATTCCCAACTCCCACTTCCAGCAAAACATGTAACATTGAAGGCACAACATCTAATATTTATGCCAATTTTGGCAAACTCACGGCATGTTCAACCATGTTCATTCATGGAACCCGGACTTCGCCGCGTCTTGTTTCAACGTTTTTCGTTTCTGCCACCTCACCAGGGGCCGGCTCGGCGTTCTTCAGCTGGAGCTGCAACCTGCAGCTGAGGACACCCGAAACAGGCAGTGGGAGACCTGTCGGAGGCCTCCATCATCGGTCTTGGCCGATGTTAAGTTGCTTCTTCGCATAGGCCCATCTTTGGGAGTCTCCCAAGGTTCAACACAGGGTGCACCTGGCAAAAAGCCGTCGTGTATGTGGTGGACATGAAAGTGGAACAATGTGGAACAGATTTCAGTTTCATGGTCCCAACCTTTGGGATGGATGTCCATCCATATGGATGTCCCCTACTACTATTCATCGATTCCTCTTCCTACGAATCCACATTCACAATGCATACACGACCTCGCAACACCCTGTTTTCCAAGATCATCGGATGTAGAACTTGGCGCCAGTTTCCCACCTTTTTCACACACAGTCTTATGCGATCTGCTGATTCACAGGGGAAATGGCTTGAAACCGAATGGGTTTGAACCAAGTACGTTTCCCTGGTTGGTTTTCGGCTGAGAAGCTGATTCAGCTCCGCGTCCTGGTGATTCAGGCTCTCCTCCCACTGGTCCAGTTGCGACTCATAAGTCTCCTCCACCTGGGCAACTGCCGAACGTGGCGAGTGGCGGGGCAACTGCAGTCATCTGTTGGGTCTGGAAGTCTTCCTTCTGTAGATTTTTTAGGTCAAGGTTCTTAATCCAAAACCTCTGATGCAGGCTACGACGACGATTCCTCTGAAACCCATAGTAAACTTATGCGAGCTTCAGACTCATACCACCAGGTCTCGGCAGAAGATCTGCAAATCCAGACCTGAACCATGAGCCCCGAAGCCACAAAGCGAAGCCGAAGCCGCCGGAGCCAGCCCGTCGCCTTTGTCAACTGTTCATGCATCAACTGATAGTGCTCCTCGGCGACTCGCTTGAAGTTGGTCAGCTGGTCCTCCTGAGCAAGCACGGGCACCTGTGCTTGTGCCAGTATGTTTTTCTTGTTTTTTGACCTGCGTGATTAGATACAAGATATCAATATCAAGTCATCTGGCGAGACCTGTTGCAAAGGGGGTGGATTTCTGACTTTGTTCAATTGTACCTTGAGCACCTGGTTTCCAGGGTCCCTTTCGACCTGTTTTTTTGCATTGGATTCTTGGGCAATTCAATTCGTTTGTGCGTGTCACATGACGAAGTCATATCAGTTCGCCTCCGCGAGCGAACCGCGTGAACGTCTCCCCACGCCATGAGGGGACCCGTCTCCCCGCCGCAGTCGACGGACGCCGTCCTCGCTGCCTCTGGGGCCGTGTAGAATCGACTGGCACCAGGCATAGTATGCATTCCTTGCGAGCATGGGTTCTGCGGCGTCCAACGAATCTCGAAAGTGTGGTCCGTCCGTCTGATCTCGTGGCGTCCTCCGTAAAGCAAGTTCTTTCTTCCAAGTGGCGCCACATTGGGCGGGATGTTTTGATTTTGGTACAAAGCCTCAGAACCGAAGCGAAGGCACTTGGTCTTGACCATTGACACATCGACTCTACCCATAGGCCCTACGTTCTTCAACGGTAATTCTTCACGGCAGGTCTGCCCGTTCAACGGAAAAGCGGGGCTGGAAGGAACCACTGTATGGAAACGTTGCAGTTTCAAACATCATATCGATCATGATACAATATCAATCATCAAGTGATTGAGGATCATCGGTTAAGCTGTTGCTGGCGGCTTTGCAATCCTTCAAGGTTAAACTCAGTCCTGAAGTGGTACGGAGGGAGTTCGATTGGCAACAACAGCCGACGAGATTCCCCTATGTATAATTAGATAACTGCTCCACAGTGCATGAACATATTCTGTGCATACATACCTCTGGGCGAGTGAATGATGCACGGTACTGTTCCTCTTGAAAGGCTTCAGGTGACAAGCCTGACACCTGGACCTACCCATCAAACTATAGAGTTGAAGGGGATAAAAGCACTCTTCTCCTTGTGTTCATATGGCATAGGCTAGGAATGGGTCAAGTGCAAATCCAGAATCCTAACGATCACACGAACATGAAAGCCATGATCAAGAGGGCAAAGTCTTTGACGTCTTGTGCACAGAAAGCTCCAATCTCACACTGCCATTGTCTGCCCAGGTGGCTTGAAAAAGAGCTTGTCTGTCCATTGCAATTCCAAACGGCACGCAAACCAACGCATGCAAACCACCACTTGGGATTTGTGTCAAAATATCGGAGCTATGAGGAATTCAGGTCAGCGTATTTTTGACTCGGCGTCTCTGTGTTGAATGTCGGTCCAAAGGGCAAGAGCAGCTGGTGGGATGCGCAGTGGCCAATACAGTTTCGATGCTTTCTTTCCAACCTTGCAGCTTCTATAAGTCTTCTTGAAACAAAATGAAAACCGGAACTGCAGTTCGGACAGCTGGCAAAAGACCTGGTTTTGGTTCAAATCCTAGAGCTCTTTGAGGTGCAAAACAATCCTCTGTCAAACACTGCATACAACCGTATGCGACCAAATAGAATCACCTTGGAATCGTCTCATGTTCTAGTTTCTCATGTCTGCGCACGCGAGTTTTGTTGGTGTCCTTTCATCGCCGACATGACTGGTCAAGTCATGTCAATCTACGGCAACATCATGCAACATCATACAGCCACTTTTCGTTTCTATGATGATTTGGAGACTCGCTGACCAAAGAGCTTCAACCACATATTTCTGCGGCCCGCTATGAGTTGTCCAACAGAAAGATCCTTTGCCTACAACAGGAGAGCCTGACCTTAACAAGCATCTTGGAACGCGCCGGTTTTTGTAGCCATTCAGGTCGGCTCAGTCAGGAAAAAGGCCTCCTCAACGATCCGGTGTGTACTTTCAACAAAAGAAGGGTGATCATCGGCCAGAAATAACCGGGATCCTTGGCTCCACCCCCCAAATGTTGTGAGCCATGATCTCCGCGCAAGCAAATCAAGAAAGTAACCTAGACGACCAAACGTTGTCAAGACTAGACTATTGATAGACATAGACCATGTAATATTGGGAAAATCAATGGAGCATTAATAAAGGCTTATCATCTTGGATGCTGCGGCCACTCCCCGACCACAGGATGCTCCCACCAGGTGGGCCCCGATGGAGTTTTGCTTCCACAGATTCAGTGTGGGGGGTCCAGTGAGAGGCAACCACGGACAAAGAAAGAAAGAAACACTGGTCCAGTGCTCCTGGACTTTCTGGGACTTGGACTGAGACTTGGGCGACCTGCTTGGGCCTGTTAAATGCTTTTCAAAGCTGAGAACCCTTGATCCGTCTCCTGTCAGATCGCGGGAGTGAGCAAAGTAGTCCTCGAAGTCGAAATCCAATGGCCTCCGGTCAGAACACCAGGCTTTCGGGTGATGTCCATCTGGTGACCCACATCAGTTACTGTAATCTTTGGCTCTGCTCAAATTGTGCAATCATGAGCCGTAGGTTCCAATGATGAAGTCTCGTGACTCACATGTGCACATTGATACTTATTCAAAGCCGTTCAAAACAAACACATATTGTTAGAAGACCCTATAAACATGTGAAATACATATTACTGTATATCAGTCTATATCATAATGATATATATATATATAATATTATATAGGGATGTTGTGTCTCTATACATAATCGTTGGGCCATTGGTCAAGAGTCTCTCCGGTAAAACCCTTGTCGGGGGGCATCTCCAAACGCACAGACTCTGGGCGTCCCGACGGCTCAGCGGGTGGGATGCAAGCGTTGTGCTCGAGCCTATGGGCGACCCAGGGCGACCCATCGAAGCATGGCCGCCAACGGCCGCAAATGACCCAACGTGTTTTGGTTTTGCACCATTGGTTTGATTAAATGTCAGATCTTACAGAGTCCTGCCATGCGATCAGTATGTTCCAGTAATTGCTGGCAGTATGCTTGTTGCAGTCCCTTTTTTACGGTCAGAACGTGCCCTATATTGATCGTAGCAGGGGTAGGAGTAGGAGTAGGAGTAGGAGTAGTAGTAGTAGTAGTAGTAGTAGTAGTAGTAGTAGTAGATTGAAACATGTCATATCGACATGCCATCACCAATGACTTGAGGAAACCCCACAGCTCCATGGTGCCAAGGTGCGCGGTGCAGTGTGTCACTGCGAGGGCGATGTTGCCACTAGTGCCTACCTGCCGATCGCCCGGCCGTGGTTGGGACAGGTCATGACAAACATGATTGATAACAAATTGAGTAAGGAGCTAGCTGTTTGGGCTTTTACCTTCATGGGAATTTGTGGGAAGCTCGATCTTGCGACCAAACATGAAACATATAAATGATGGCCCACCAGAAATTGAACATGTTTGTGAACATTCTTTGCAACTATACTATATTTATGGATTGTAATATATTGTAATGGATGTTGAAAGACTCTAGTATATGATATATGTGTTTCAAACTCATCATCAATGTTTCTCACATTGTTTTGGCAAGTCGCGCAAACGTTTGGGACGTCTGAAGGGGAAAACAAGGGGCCTTCTTCTCCAGGCTGCCTTGGAACACCTCGAAGAAGAGGTGCTCCTTGGGGGCACGGGTGGTCCACTTCGGGCTGACAGCTGCCACGGCCCCACTGCTGGTCCACTCGACTAGGAGCCCCGACCCAGACCGGCCACGAGGTCCGTAGCTCGGTACCGAACATGGACACTCGGATGGGGAAGACGGGCACATAGCCTCGGCTGTCGGTCCCAGGTGCTCGGGGTGACTGGAGATGTCTGGCTTGAAGCAATCCTACCGCGACACAAACTGGGCTTTGATTGGTTTAGCGGGTTGCCCAATCCCAAGACAAGCCCACTGGAGACTGACACAGAGTCCATGTTGGTGATTGAGGAATTCTGACAGCCTGAAAAGGGCCCGCTCTGGGTAAAATGACTCTCAGTGATCCGATTGGATGCAAGTGGGCCCTGTGAATGACCGATGGAGGAAAGGCCATGATGAAAAAATGAAAACTGCACTGCCAATAAATGACAACTGACAAACAATTAGTAGCGCTTGCAAACTCCATCTTTGCAGCTTACCAGGGCTGGTTCCATCGTCTAACATGTTGGGTCTGTTTGCTTCTCATCCTTCGTTTTGACAGACACAACTTGGACGTGTTTCTACTCCCGCAAGATCCTGAAAGTAGCTTCAGTGCAAACAAGTGAAGTACAAAAAAAAGGTGCTGAAGTAAAACGGGCGTGTTCAAAATTCATCCAATGTGTCTGTGGAAATCCAATTCCTTTTCCGCGGACCTCTCGTTTCTCCAAGGAACTCTCGAAATTCACGTCAAAGACGTGGTCCATCTGCGGAGAGGCCGTGAAAGACCGGCCGTAACGCCGCTTTGGAAGGACTACGTCGACGACGTGGATCTTGCTCAATGTGTTGCATTGACCAGTCAACATGGCTTTTCGGAAAACTCTCTTCCATTAGAGTCTCCGTGGGTGCCCCAACAAACATCGAAAAAGAAGCTCCTGCTCCTGCCTTCTACATCCAAAACTGGGAGGATCACACCCGACCAACGTGCACATCTCGAAGTGAAGACCAAACCACGGAACCAGAGTCAGGGGTACATGCATAGATGCATGGATATGCATGGACTGGTCAGCTTCAAGTAAGCAAATTACGTGAAATCACGGTGATTAAAGAGATGTTCACCGATCAGGCGTTCGCGTCTCGAGCAGCTCCTCAGCTGAAGGTCACTGCCTGAGGCCCTCGCAGTCACACGGAACTTGGCAAAGGTTAAGTGTGCCTGGCTCGGGGCAAGTTCGGCTCCAGCTGAAAAAACGCGCCGTGTGAGTAATTAGTATGGACGCATTGCTGAATGGAGGTCTGAAGGTCAAAGCAAAGGGAATGTTTTTGGATGTTGGATGGGATGACTTGTTTATGACATGTATGTTGAATTGAAATTCTTCCTATTTCATCCTTGATCACCCCCAGGAAATCTCACAACCAGCCCCTCTCTCACTTCAAAGCTATACTTCTTCAGCGGCGGATCTGTTCCTTTCAGGTCACCATGCACCGCTCCGGCCACCGATATCTCACCTCATACAGCCACTGCGAGAAGAACCTCAGGACCACGTGTTGGCGTAGCAGCGTAGACAGGAATTCGCAGGGAGGTCGCACGATTGTTTTTTTTCGGGACAAAGTTACAGTGGTTTCAGAGTAGATGGCACAATCCCCAAAAGGTGATTTATATGGATCCCTATATAAAAAACATCTTGAGGTCTGTGCCATATTTAAACGTCAAAGTGTAAAGTCTGGATCTCGTGAGGAATGAAAGGCCTAACAAGTACTACAAAAAGGCTCTCCTTTCAGAAATGGTTGAGACCACCAAACAACAAGCAAAGAACAAAACCCCACATCATGAAACACCTCCACTCCTACTCTCATGACCGCCTTGCAAACAAAAACCTGAACGTCGCCCACTGGCAAGTCGAGGGCCGCAAACAGTTGAGTGATCGCAGTTTGATGATGTCGTTGCACCAGATTGTGCACCAGTCTCGCTATTTGGGTACGCAAGGTCACAAAGCCAGGATGAACGGCCCAACTCGTGAAGCCAAGTTCATTCTTAGTAACAATGTTCGCTACTAGGAACAAGTGCATCGTTTCTAGTAACAAGTGCCTTACTAGTAGTAACAAGAAGCGTGCCTTGGATGACAAAGCCCAAACATGCCACACCTGAAACAGCAATCCGCCGAGAGTTACTATGGCAGTGATGAGCTTGCTAGCCATGAAATCAAACTTCGTGTGCACCTTCTCCTGTTTCTTTACATGCAGTTCTTTGAGCAGGTTCACATGGTCAATTCGTTGAGTTGAGGCCTTTCCTTCGATCAGATCATGCCTTGCATCGATCGCGATTTTGAGATCTGGACCACTGGTGCCGGAGATTCATGCAGCTGATTGGTCTTGGGATTGATATACGGAGGTGCCCAAGGTCCAAGGGCCGCAAATTGGTGACGTGGTGCAAAGCCTCATGAGCAACAAGACGGCTAGCAATAGTTGTTGCACCAAAGAGTGGATTGATGATCGCCAGCAATTCAATATTTGGAGGTGACACCAAAAGACCGGTACAGGTACGAGTATGACTACAACTACATGTTTGGTGAATTGTTCGCGGAAATCCAACGGTTGGGCAGTGGCGCTATTGGAGCGGCTTGGATGAATTGCTGCGGAAGTACCGTGCTTGGTTCCACAAGGCTGCCGTGGGAAAGGGGCTGAGATGGCACAACGCCAACCAGTCATGGAATACAATGGCAAGAAGACGTCAATTTTCTTGGATGCCAAGCATTCCACCTTTGCAGCCCAAAAGCTCTCATGAGATCCTCATGCCAATGGCTTCACATGCTAATCGGTCAAATCAGTCTTTGAGAAGTTGCCCACCATTGAAATCACCATGGATGTTAGGAACGTGATCTTGAACCCACTCTGGTCATCGCATCGAGTCAGCAACAAGGCAAACAAGAAGAGTCACCCGCCGCATGCCATCGGAACCGCAGAGCTGTTCGAGTCACGGGAGAGAAATGCCCACGGAGGGCGTAGAGACGCCCCCAAGCAGAATGCCTACGCCAACCTTTGATCAGCCATCAATGATGTCAATGCTCATTAACATCCGTTCATCTAAAAAAAGACTCAGCTCAGTTGACTTATCGCTCTTGTTCTAAGGTAAGGAAACATCGAAACAATGTTGCGTTGACCTGTTGACCAGCTACAAATTGAGCTGAGAAAGGTTGCTTCTTCGGCAACATGATGGCGTAACTGTGCACGCGACGCGTTTGATGAGGTTCAGGATACAGCAATTGTGCATTTACATAGATGCTAATTATAGACTCTAGACCTCTATGACGCTTTAGCAGTCATTTGTTTCACAACTTGGCTTTGCCTTTCTTCACTTTGGCCATCTTTGTTTCGAGGCCGTGGCAATCTCAGGAAGAGACCAATCCCTGGCCCAACGAGTTTGTATTGTGTGACTGTATCCTGCAACAGGAGCTGTATTGTCAACCGGGGAAGGATGATGGTTGACATGTGTTGTGGTGGCAACAGCAGCTATGGTTATTTTGTTTGTTGGCCCCTTTGGAACAGCCCAGCGAATCGTTTGTATAGCAACATGTTCAAAAAGCCTTCGGGGCAGAAGGCGGCGCAACAATACAGCTTCTGGAGTTTGCAGACCATGAAAGGTATGATCCACTAGGATGGGTCAAAAACATCCACCACCCATTGCTGGAACTGGTTGAGAGTCGTGTCACCCATTGCTTCTACCATCTGCCACGCCTCCACCGGAAATTCCAGCCCGTGTCTTTGCCCGGAAGAACGCAGCGAAGAACGCAGCCCAGGAGCAAATCCGGGCCGCGAATCATGGGGAGTTGAAGCCTTGGGAGATGGTTGACTGAAACAAGCCGCCATGGCCAGCTGTCACACGCGTGAGGTGTTGGTCATGACTTATGACATCATTATGACACCAGTCTTTGTTTTCAAGAGCGTTCCTATTGTGTCCAACATTTTTTATTGAAATACCTTAATACCTCAATATATCTCGATAGACTATCCGATAGACCTCGATCCTTATATAAGCGGCCCAAATCTTACCAGCAAGCAAGCTGTTTCATGGACAAAGGGAAAGACTCCGTTTGGACTCTGGACGCCGTTTCTTCTTGGCTTCTCACCGCTACCACAAAATTTGCTGGTGTCGGTCCGCTATGTCAATCTTGTCACAACAAAATAAAACGCTGCCGTTGGTGGAACAAACACAACAAACAAACGGCATTTCTTGAAAAGGCAATTATTTGTGCCGTTTTCGAAGACCCAGGTGTACTATATTGTACTATGCTGAGACCCGAAACGCCTGAATAGGAATGCAGGTTGTTTGCGTGAAACACTACTTTGAGTCGAACCGGACTAGCTGCTACCTATTTCTTGGCGAATTGCTGGCAAAAAGCAGCTGAATTGCTGGATTTTCGGACCTCAAAACATCCACTTCCCCCCCACACCGAGCGCACGAGCTCCTCTTCCAGCTTTCGAAGGACACATTTCCGCCGCTCCTCCACAGAGTCATTCACTTTTTGGGCGCAACACGACATGGGGCGGACCATTCGGCGGACTCTTCGTGCTGGAAATTGTAATTTAGGCATACTTGGGGCACTTGAGGGCCGGATCAGGCTGGGGATTCTTGTTTGGAAGTGATGTTATACAAAGGAATCGAAACCCACTGATAACCTAATGCTAAGTGGAAATTGAGTGCTCTGAACCTAGAGCTTCGCATGCTTCAAGCTGGAACAGTGTGCTAACTGACCAGTTTACATGATTCAGTTCGTGTCCAATATTATATTTGCTCCTCATTTCTGCACCCTAGCAATCAGATCACCCCCAATCGCCCTAGCCCTAACCTTCCCTGTTCACACCTGCAAGTTGAGAATGTCATCACACCATCCTTGGCGAGGCTGCCCCTTGTCTCACATGTTCTTCCGACGATCGTATGGGATCAAAGGAATGGAGCATGACCACCCAATCAGGTCTTGAATGATGGCAAAGCGCACAAACGGTTGGAATTCTCAGCGACCATTTACTACTCGAAAACCCACCAAGAACCGCAACATGAGCTCCTCGGGTTGCTTGGTGTCACGACGAATGGAAAGTGAACGGGGTCAGCACCGGATCATCTGTGCATGCTTTGATACCTTAACAGGGGCCCTGAAGCAATTTGTGCATCCTTCTAGATCTTCTGAGCGTTGCTTCCTAGACGTTTCCTGTCCCACAGGATCGAGCTACGCTCAAAGGCACACTCTACGGGTTTCAGCGAGATGAAGAAGAAGCAAGAAGAAGAAGCATGGAGAAAGGAAGCAAAAACAAGAAAAGGAAGCAGGGAAAAGATCCAGAAAGAAGAAGAAGCCCGGGAAAAAAAGAAGCAGCTATATAGATGAAGAAAAGGATGCGGAAGGAAAAAGAAAAGAAGAAGTTGCAAGATGAAGAAGCGAAGCAAGAATAAGCAAGAAACACAACCGCTCTGCATGACGAAGTGATGGGCAATGGGGAAATGGTAGCAATCACACCAACCGGTGTGAGTGAAGGGAAGGGGACTGAAAGACTCTGGACGTGAAGAACACAACTGATCTGATCATGGGTCAGCTGCAGTTTTGCCGAATTCATACAATTCCCAGGACACCGGCACCTGAGGGCCTCGGGTTGTACAGGAAAACAAGGAAGAAAAGGCACGGAGAGGAGTCAAAGCCGGGGGTTGAACCTGGACTGTCTGCAAACAGTCCCTCACACTCAATCGAGGCCCAAACCGAACCCATGAATGCCATGCATGACTATTAGATGAACATGGATGCGGACCTGTCCGCTTTCTGATCCCTCTCCTTCGAACAAATGTGATTCTACATATCTCTATGGCAACGGACAACCAAAAAGGAACGAATGTGATCCAGCCAAACCTGCGAACTGACCAACTGAACCACTGGCTCATCTACTCACCATTCCCTTCCCTACCCGACCGCTCCGAAGACAGCCCAGAGGCTCAGCACAGGATTGGTTCCAGTTGAGTACCTGGAACCGTGGCGATGGTTTGGATGGAGAGAAGGATAATAAACTAAATTGTAGCCACTAGGATAGTCAGTACATGTCAGTACAACAACTATATATATAATTTAAAGCTGTTTAACAATGTTTAAAGTCATGCTCTGGAGAGTACTTGAAGATGCTTGAAGTGATTGGTTGTGAGCTCTCTTCATGGATCCTTCAATCTGCTCAGGTTGCAGGCCATCGCTACTAGGTTAGAGGCCATTCCTATTAGGTTCCTTTTGCTATTAGGTTGGAGGCCACCGCTACTAGTAGCAAGAAGCTACTAGGTTGGAGGCCTTCGCTCTTGATGGATCCGTCCCACGAATCCACCCAAGCCACTCCACTTTCTGAACTCGACGGGAAGCGACGAATCCACAGGCAATGGCAGCGGGATGAGTTCTTTTAAACCCAGCCATGAAGCCTCTAAGGATCAATCACATTGTCCAATTGAGGGGTTCACGCAAGCCATATTTGTGATTCAAAAAAAGACATAGAAAACGAAGAGACCACTGCTCGGCACTAGCCCATGGCCAAGGTGAAGCTACCAGTGACTGGGCTGGCATTGGACACATCTCTGAAGAAATGCAATGTATCAGGACTGCTTAAATTACAAAGACAAAATCTGTCATAGTCTTTCAATTATGCTATAACCTGTCCAGGAGGATCCCTCTCGTTGCTGGAAGCCTCAGCCTGGGGCAGTGCCAGTCCAAGATTGATAACAATTTGGGGTGTGCAGCTGTGGTGACAGCTTTGTGAGATGGATCGGCCCTACAAATATGGCATAGAATTGAAAACTGCATCCCGCACCATTGCGAAAATCAAGGCCTCTGGAGGCCTAGGGAAAGTATGCAAATCCTGGAAAGACTTGGGCGTGCTATGGTCTTACAACTATCTATAAGAGCGTGCAAGCGTGCAGTCTTGGAACTGTTGGTCCCATTTGGAAAGGCATCTGAGTGTAGTTTGGGCACACACGGAATTGGCAAATGAGGTTTTCGCACCAATATCCAAGGTCTCCCAAGCCAATGATGCAAATGGACAAAGCTCTCTCCCCGAATGGGGTAAGGCAGTGCCAAATGAGGAATTAGCAGGCGATGTAGGTAGCCCCATCGAAGTCAGGAGTCAGGACGGGTTCCAAGGCATTGTGCAAGTCACGAGTCCACCGGGCGGGATTGGCCACTTCAGTTCAAGTCACCCTCCGTCGTTCAGACACGATTTGCCGCTTTAAAAGTCTGTCCCTGCGCGGGAGGAACTTCGCTGCTGACCCAGTCATGAGCCAGCTTCTAGAAAAGCCAAAGTGCCATAGTGTCAATCCTCTGGTGACGTCTCAAAGCATCTTCAGATCCCTGGATCAGCAGCAGCGAAAACCGGAAAATGTGAAACCGATTGCGGTGGGGCCTCAGATCCTCTCATGCAGCAGCAAGCTTTGGCCGATCACCTCAAACGGCAAGGGCGGGCCATGATTTTGGAAGCTCAGGCCGTCAACCGGAATATCCTTAAAATTCACATCCTGCCTCACATGATCTCCGATGCAGAATGGACTGAAAGCATTTGTCAACTTTGCGAGTGGCAAAAGACCAGCATGTGGGTCATGACAAATAAATCTGTATACCGTACTGTATACCAATGAATTGCTCCAAGTTGCCTTGGACGTCCTTCTCTGTCGTTACTTATCCAGCCAAACAAAGCACCAACACCCAATGTGCTTTCAGCTGGAAGTTGACAACAGCACCATGCAAAACATGCCAAAATGAAACAAGTCCTAGACCACAAGACCTACTAGTATGAGTCCGTGCATTGAACTTAACTATATGTGAATTCATGCTAGTTGCCTTTAGCTCATGATATATACAGTAATACCTTGTGGATCGGTTCATTGAACAAACCAAGTGAATGTTCCATCTACTTCCATCACTGTCCTCCACACCGTCTCAGCTTCGCACTGGGGATGCGATCTGCCAGACGTCGCAAGGCCCGGGCGCTCACCTCGGTCGCAGAGCTGATGGAGCGACAGAAACATCAATCGACAATCATCGACATAGTTATCTTAGATATCTCTTAGGAGGTCGAAAGACATACAATATAAGGAAACAAATATACATATAGATCATATAGACAAGCACGTTTTCAACAACATCTGCATCTCCATCCAATCAATCCAGTCGAATCCCAAAGCCCGAATTAGGAATTCACCCCACTCCAGGGTCCGGTCTGCTCTCAGCCTCCCAACCCACCCAGTTCCTTTTGTTACTAGTAGCTTCTTGTTTCCGTTCATAGCGATGGCCTCCAAGCTACTTGCGATGGCCTTTGATGTACCCAATACCGTGCTTGTTACACCCATGTCCAACCCGTCTCCAAGCCGGCCGGCCAGCTCGAAGGCGCGCCGCGCCAACTTCTGCGCCAACTCCCGGGCGCCCTCCGCCAGCCGTGGGTCTTCGCCTCGGAGTTCGAACGGATTCGACCAACACCAGCGGATGGAGCCAGCGGATGGATTCACTCATTCAGACTTCTGTTGCTTCAAGTTACTTCTGTTCTTGTAATATTCAACCCTGGTGTAATGATAAGTTGAGAACTCAATGTCTCAACATGTCTCAACCCCTTCTGAAATGCAACATGCACATCCAGCATCCCCCAGCTGTAGTCTCAAACAGCCCTGACGGCCAGTCCCAATGGAAATCTGGTGGGTTTGCCATCCATATGAAAGCAACCAAGCACTCTTTCTGCATCAAATTGACCTCCCCAAAGGTCTTTCCAAAACATCCCACCCGTCCTGGTCCCACTCTCGGACCAGTAAACTGGGTCAACACCAAGAGGCGGAAGAGCTGCAGGACCGAAGTGAGGCTTTGGGCTGACACGAGGCCTGGTGTTGTCCAGGAACAACATCCCTGTTGTCCAGGTCTTTGCATCCCAAACATGCCATGAGTTCTGAACACAAGCATGTTCCGTTAGACATGACCGAACTCTTAGACTCTTGACCAAAGAAATTTGGGAGCGTGTTCTGTTCCTCACCAAGAGTAAGTCTTACTGAAGTCAAACGATCGCGTTTCGCTGGCTTGAAGGCCTCCGAAATCATAGTCAACATTGCCACAAAATGACTCGTACGGTCCCAGAAAACACCTCCCGGCAGGTCAAGTTCTACACATCAACCACCCTGGCGCAAGCGGTTCACCTGGAACCACGAGGTGGTTCAGTCATGTTAAGCCTGTCCTCCAAGCCAGCCTCCATCTTGGGCCATCTCACGATCTCCCAGAAGAAAGGCCTTGGAAACTTATATAGTATGTCTTAGTAGATTGAGCTGATTGGACCTGCACACAATGTCCTGCATGAAGAGCTCTTGAAACCTCGCTTGTCTCAAAGTGGTGTTTGTCAGATCGGAGCAGCTCGAGATGATTTTTAACGAGCACCTGTTTTACTATAAATCCAGCCATCTTCCGTCTTCCGCACATTGATTTCTGTGTATTTCTTTCGTCTTGGGATCCCATGGCTCATCAACAATCCGAAAATCACTTCCTGTGTCAGTTTGCACAGTGCATAGTGCTTGACAAGCTGCAATGACCTTGGTCGTGTTTGAGACCACCTTCCTTGGCATTCGGTGCACGAACCCAACAACCCCCCTATGTTCCCCCCCTGGTCTGCGGTCCTCTCAAGCAGAAACCGAAGAAACTCTGAGCAACAGAAAGCCTGAACGCATCTAGATTCTAGATATTCTGACTCATGTCAATATCGACACTCCCCTGGCCCCTGTCCGCAAAGGCCAACAAGATGCTAAAAACGGTGGAAATAAATCCTCTGAAGACTCTAGTAAATGAGCCAGCCCCAATATCCTCGAGTCCCTCGATTTTGGGCAAAAACTTCCCAACCCACTTGCTCTATGTAGGTCAATGTGGCCTACACGCGGGTGCCATTGGTTATGCATCGTGACATGTGTAATGCCTCGGTAATACTGGCCTTCATGGAGCATTTAAGAATTCTCGGCTCAAGCCATCATTGCTTAATGAGAATCACCGATGACATTGACCGAGCGAAGTCGGCTTTCGAATGCCAAGCCACTCCTCCTCTGCAGTCAAAGGAGGTGCAAAGAGATCCCCGAAAGGTCCCAATGGGCTCTCCCTGAGTCGCAGCCACCGGCAAAGGATGCTACGAACGGAGCAAAGGGCATCGCTACTGGGAGCTTTTTCTCCAAGACCGCGCTGCGGACACCGAAACAAGGGACCCTGCGGACGAAAAGAAATTGGTCCTGCGAATGGCTGGAATGATATCCCTACCTGGCACTAGCTTCTGTCCGGCCATTTACACTCACCGCATGTCATCTTGGTTGAAGAAAGAATCGTCTGAGCAAAACTCAAGCAAACCGTCTCTGGCCAGTATTGAAAGTATTGAAGAAAGGTGTAGCATCCTCAGCCAAGGTAAGAATCCTTGTAACCTCCACCTGGTTCTCCTATATTCAGCTTAGTGTAGAACTGGCTTCTCTGAGCTGACCATGAGAGTGCCTCCACGAGGAACCCATAGAACTCTTCCAGATTAGAAACAAGAACATGGAATCCTTCCTTTCCCCTGAAGCTTCATGGATCCTTGTCTTTCAACACCTCCGCAATGGCTAGAGCATCCATGCAAAGAAGTTGGAAATTGGGCGTCCCAAAAATGACCCTCACCAGACTGGTGTAGGCGAAAAGCTGAAGCTCATCACCATCTGTTCAAGCTACACCCGTATGGTTGATCCCGGTATGATCCCACTGAAATACGCCATGAGGCAACAAAGCTGGGCCGATGCCGGGCAGAAGCCTGCCATCGAAGGCACGATGCTGCACAGCAAATGGATGAGCAATCGCCAAACAGGAGTTCAGTCAACTGCAAAATAGCAGTGACAGACGCACAAAAACACTGGACACTACACTGGACATTGTATTTGACATATTCGAGGCGCAAACTTTGGACAAGAATCCTCCATCACAGCACAAGATGCAGGTGTTCCTGTTTGTGTGAGGTTG